TTTTATATACATATATATATATATATAGAAAATAGTTATATGTTATTTTAATCTCTAAATTTATAAAAATTTTTATAAAATAAGTATTTTACTTAAATGTCAAATAATTTAAAACTCCTTATTTTAGATTAAATAAAAATAATAAAATAATAATTATTTAACAAGTACATTTATTTTGACCATCGTAACTTTTAAGATCTTTAACAGTAATTTGAGAGTTGTAGCCAAATGATACTGTATATACACCAGTGATGGGAACAACAATCTCGTAGTCGTTGACCATTTGCACCGGTACTCTGAACAAACCGGCCAATTGTCGGGCTTTCAATGCTTTCGTTCCCTTAAACAGCGGTCCATTGCCTTTGACGTGCATTTTTGCGGTGAAAGGCATTTCTAAATTATCAATAGTCTCAACAAATGCCTGAACTTCTATATTACTGTTTTCCGGTACATTAACCGTATGTTCCAAACTATAAGTCTTTTTGATTGATTTGGTTACTATATTAGTCTCACTTCCGCCCCATTTATGTTCATATTTGCCTTCCAGTCCATAACTGGCCGATGCTTTGCCACTAAAAAGTCCATAATTAAATCCGGCCGAGTATTTATATTTTATGCTGACTTTAACACCGGCCATATGTTGCCAATGATTATTGATAGCCAATTGACTCGTGTATTGTCTTTCTGTTTGCACTTTAAACACTGTAGTGATCTTAGTGTTGGCCGGATTGTTGATAATTATAGTTTCCAATGAATCCAAACGTTTTTTCGTTGTATTTAGCATTTCCTATAAAAAATTGTATTTAAAGTTTATAATTATTGTATATTTTTTTAAATATACAAATAATAATTATTATTATCTGTTTTTTATTACTTCCATTGAATGCTTAAATTTGATATCCGTTGCAACGAAATCCAATTCATACATATCGTTTGATATTTCCGAAATATCACTCAAAAACCCTAAATCTATAATAAAAATTTTAATAAATTTATATATTATTCAATATTTATATATAACTAGTATTTTATAAATTTTTTTAAATAATTATTAACCGAATGTTTCAGACGACTTGCTAATGTCTTTAAAATCATTTGTTGATAATGAATGAAAAACTATGCGATAATTATTATAATTATTATCAATATTTTCTATATTGATAATAAATTTGATATCAAGAAACATCCATTTAGCCTCAAAAATCATCCATTTAGCTGTATAATACTTATATGGACACAATTTTCTATCAAATACCCGAACATTACTATAATCAATAATAGTAGTGGTATTTAAATCATTGTTGTCATTACCATTGATTATCATAATAATCATTGATAGCAACAAACTGTGCAATAATTTAGACATTATTATCGCACTATCTCTATAACTAAGTAACTATTGATCAAATAAATTGTGCGCTTATTTATATATAAATCACATATAGATATAAAACTATTTGTATATATAAATTGATAATAATTTCCTATAACGATTAATTAAATTGTTTTTTAAAAAAATTATTATTAGTAATAACTTTTACTAAACTTAAATGATAGTATTATTTTTATCTAGAAATTGAATTACTCACCTAGATAATATTTCAATATTTAATGCTATTGATAGTAATAACTGTGATGTTTTATATATGTATATATATAAATAATAGACAAACAAATATTAAATTTTATAGATATTATAAAAATTTTATTAAAAATCAAATTAATTATATAATGTAATTAATTATTGTTTTAAAAAATCAAGTATGAAAAAATTAAAAGTTTAATCTATAAATATTTTTAAACAATATTTATATTCAGTATCATTGTTATCACAGTATAAATCATAATAATTGCAAATTGTATTTATATTATAAAGAATATAAAAAATCTACAATAATATTATACAAAAGTATTATATAAAATTAATATAATATATTAAACTTTAAAATATCAATAAGTAAATAATAGTTTTATACAAATATTTGTTTAAATAAAAGTATACTAAATTATTATTATTGCTTTTAAAACTGATAAAATTAAATATATTATTATAAATTATTTTTATTATAATTTGTAATTAAATTTATAACTATTAGTGTATTATTACAAAAAAAAACAATTATTGAGTAAACAAATATCAAATTAAATAAAAATTATTATTGATTTTATTTTTGATAACATGATATTTATAAAAATATCATTACTAAAAAAATTTTTTTAAATTGTATAAATTAATTTTTATAAAAGTTTTACATAACACACACACACACACACACACACACACACACACACACACACACACACACACACACACACACACACACACACACACAGCAACATTGTTTTGTAATACATATAACTATTACACAATAATAGATTTTTTTGTGTTATAATATTAAAAGTTATATTATTTATAACTAAATAACAAATATTGGTTCAAAAAACTTTAGACAATTGTTACCGATAGACATAAACAATACATTTAGATTGTCTAAATATATTCAATATATTATAGTTAATATAGATAAATTTTTTTATAATGTTTAGTCACCAATTATTTTAATTAGTAAATTAGTTTTATATTAGTAATGAAAAAATTAATTAATTAATTGACTTGATTTTATAAATAAAAATCTATAATAAATAGATTAATATATTGGTTATTTTTGTATTGTATCACATTTATGATATAGTAATTGTTAGCTTTATAAAATTGTTTTAAAATTATTTATTTTTTGATTATCATGTGCTTGAATTGATGAAGTATTAAAAATTATAGAAATTTTTTAATTTATTGTATTAATTATTTTTTTATTAAATAAAAATTACTTTATTAACAATTAGATTGTCTGAAAAAAACAACTGAATCACTGAATCACATATTATGTCGACATTTAAGACATCAATCATTTAACAGATTATTAAACAATTAACGAGTATTTCATTTCAATTAAGTTTTAAGATAATTGTATTAAATAGTGTTATTAATAAATATTAATTAATTAAATTTATGTATAAAATTTATATTTAGATTTTCTACATTAAAATACATAAGGGTTAGCCCTAAGCTAAAAACTACGAGTCCCTGAAACTGATAGCCGATGAGATGTTCATCAACGGCGGTGTCGTACAGAATCATCCATTAGATCCATAAATATATATATATTTATAAATTTGTCACATATTTTCATATTAAATAAATAATTAGTAATTTTTTATAAAATAAAACTATATTAAGAACTACTTTAATTACTCTTTAAGAAAAGTAATAATAATAATTACCTATAAATGTTATATTTATTATCTATTGAGTGAATTGAATGCAATTTATTATTATTATTGTTTTTGTTTTTATTTTATCAAAACATTATAAAATAATTATTTTTAATAATTTGTTTGTTTAATAAATTTTGTATAAAAAATAAATCTAATGTTTTACTGGTTTTTTAAATAAAGTTTTTTTTATGTTTATGTTATATAGTTTTTTTAAAAAAAGTTATCTTAAATTTTAATTTATTTAATAAAATAGATTATTCATATTAATTAAATAATTAAATTACTAACTATAATAATAATAAATTTTTAATTAATATATTTACATTTCTTATTTAAAATATATAATTATTTTATCATAACTATCTAATTACTAGTTATTTATTCAATAAACTTAATTTAAATAATTATTGATTTACATAAAATTCTAGATAATTATGATATTATGATAACACAAATTAAATAATCTATTAAAACATAATTTAAAAAAATTCATTTAATAGCTAATTTGTAAATATTACAAATAAAAATTTGAAAAATATTTAAACTGTTTAATTTAAGATGCTAATTTTTAAAAATGTTTTAAGAGTTATTTATTTGTTTTCACGAACTCCTGAAAGGAAGCCGTATATGCATTCTAAAAGTCTGTCTGTCTGTCTGTCTGTCCCACATAGGTTAGTGGTTCGAATCCAGACTCTGCTACAATTTTTTTAATTTTTTTGATAAAGCATCAAAAATGAGCTATGGGATAAGTATTGAAATTTTGATATTTCATCAGGAACATAGAGAAAATTGCGTCTAAAAATTTAAAAAAATATATTTGTTGATTTTTAAATTTAGATTTGTGTAAAGCATCAAAAATGAAGTATAAGAAATCTGCATTTAAATTTTTATCCCTTCAAGAACTACGAGAAAATGACAACTAAATTTTTAATTTTGTCATACTGAATCATTTGATACCCCACATAATTATAGTTGAGATAATTTTTTATTCTGAAGCATTTGTTATCCAACATGTCTATAGTTGAGTTATTTTGGTATTCTGAATTATTTATATTTCACATTAGTATAGTTGATTTTATTTTGTCATACTGTCATACATGATTTAATTTTTAATTAGGATTTAGGAGTTCGTATGGAAATGCTTTCTAGCATTCTCAACTGGTTTTTTTTATTAATTATTAATATTTTTTAATTTACTACTTTTTATTATTTATATAATTTTTTAAAATAAATAAATGAAAATTTTTAAAATGTATTAAAAGTAATTTAAATAATTTTAATAAAAATTAATTTAATATTATTGTTATTATCTGTAATATAATACTATAATATTAGAAAAAAATATTGAACTTTTTATTAACTTTTATTATAAAAATTCATATTTAATAAAATAGTATTAATTATTTTATAGTATTATCTGTAATAATATACAATAAAATATTTGCATTTTCATTATATTTGATACATAATGTCATAATTAAAAATGTTTATTAGTATTAAATCTATTTAAATACAAAAAAATCTAAATAATTGTATTTATAAAAATATTTTAGCTATTAATCAATGAAAATCAATTGCTATTAAATATAATAATATTTATAATGTTATCAATATATTATTGTAAGTCAATTGAATTTAATTAACATATTATTCATTAATAACTTACAATATATATTTAAAAACTTATAATATCTATAGTATTGTTGAATATATTGTTGTATGCAATGAGTGTTTCATCGGTTGTTCATTCAGTGATCAAACACTACCCGAATGTAACACTCATTGATTGTGGTGTCGGACGGGAATCACTACTAATGACCGGTCAGTGCTTACACTCATATGATTGGACCAAACATATTGAAAACGGTAGACAACTGGAAACGGCAGAAATGCCATGGATTGTCTTTATTATAGTTAAACAAAATGGCGGACAGTTTAGTCTAAATTAATTTTATTTTAACATTAGTTTATAATAGCACTCAACAAATTAATTAATTGATTATTTTAAAAAAACAATAGTATCTCTGGTACTGGTGTTGTATTGAACAATAACTGGATAATTACATCCAGACATATAGTATTGTAATTAAAATCTTAAAAATTTTATTATTTATTTTTCTATTATGTAGAAAAATTCTATAATTTAAAAAAAATAATTTTATACAATTTTTATTGATTTTATTGATATAAAAAATACTTTTATTAACAATTAGTTGTCGACTGCCGTTCAAATCAAGTGATCACCGCATATATACCGGCATTCAAGACAAAAGTCATTTAACAGATTATTACACAAGTGATGACTATTTCATTCCCAATCAGTTTAGAAAAGCAAAACAAAGGGCATATGATTTGGCACTCATTAGACTCAGTAAACCATTGAATCTGATGTCAAACACCAGATATAAGACAATTAATGGCATTTGTTTGCCGAAAGAGGATATTATTAACACAAACGATGAGTTGGCACTGATTGCCGGTTACGGGGCTATCAATGATACGACAGATCTTAATGGTAGACCACATATGGGTTGGTTGAAGATTATGAAACCCGAGTTTGATAGCAACGATTCTAACGGAACTTTGATTTTGGCTGAGCGAGCACCGGGAGGTTCACTGTCGTGCAAAGTATAAAGATATAACTATCTTATGTAATAACTATACACATAAGCATATATATATATAAATTAGAGTTAAGCAATGGGGTGGGGGCAGGGTTACTATATTGTCTAATTAGTATATAATACACAAATTTGTGCTAAAATATGTTTTATAATGAAGATAATTGTTATATATTTAGGGTGATTCCGGTGGACCACTACTCCAGTACATCAATGGTAGGGCTGTACTCATTGGTGTCATTCAAGGAGGCGTTTCATCTAACTATTGTCCAGAAATTAATTTTCCCGCATATTATGTACGTCTATCCAAACATATTGAATGGATTAAACAAATTGTTGGTCAATAATAACAACAACACAATTAGATTAATATTTAAAAACTAATCACTTATAATATATTATATAAGATAAACAAACTAAGAATATTAATGTTATTGTTATTATTATTATTATTATTATTAATATTATTATTATTGATTTTATTTACTTTTAAATTAGTAATTAAGTTACATTTATTATTTAATTAAACTAAAAAAATTTAGTATTTATATAATATTAATTAATTTATATAATACTTTATTATAATGAATATATATATATATATATATAAATGATATGATATAATAAAAATTAAACCTTCTGTATAGTATTTATAATAATTAAATACATTATTAAATTCAACTTTTACTTAATCTAAATAAAATAATAAAATAAAATTCCTATTATTTTGTTAATCAAATTGTGTTTATTATTATTATTTAACTAAATGTTAATTATAATTAATTATTATTATTATAAAATATTAATACCTTTAATGATTGTTTAATTATAGTAACTCAAAGTATTAGTTATAGTAATTTATTAATTATTAATTATTAATATTTTTAATGTTTTTTAAACTATTTTATTTATAATTATAAAATAAATTTTGTTAATATTTAATATTGTATTACAGTAATAAATGTAATAAAATATTTTTATAGTTTCACTAAAAATGTAATACTATAATATAATAATGTAAATAACATTTAAGTATAAAAATAAATTGTCTAATAAACTACTATAATATTTGATTATTATATTATGAAAATTTGCAAATTAAAAAAAATAATAATAACTATATTTCTAATAACATTTTAAATAATTAATTTATTTATTGAATATTATAAGTATTGTTAATAAGTTTTATTAAAAATAATATAGAATTAGGATTAAAGAACATCATAATGAAAATTATACTAAACTTATGTTTGTTAATGTTTTATATGATTTTTGTTTTATAAAAAAAACTTAAATTATACAACACTTTAATTTAAATATATTTATAATTATTTTGTTTTTAGTAATAATAGTATTGTTGTCATCAGTATTGGTGTCGTTCAGTGTTTGCATTCACTCACAGATCAAACACTATCCGAACGTAACGCTCGACACGTGTGGTATCGGACGGCAGTCACTGTTGACTACAACTGGAAACTGTTTCAAGTGGTCATCAAATGTGACTACAAGTATACAAAACGGACGGTTAGCTCAACCGGGAGAGTGGCCATGGATTGTATATATCTATTCTACATATTATTTTCTTGGTTTTATACTAACGGAATGGTTTCCAATTAATTATTGTTTTTTAAAAAAATAATTAAATATTTAATATATATATATATAAATAATTTGTTAATAAATAATTTATAGGTCTGAATGTACTGGAGTTATATTAAATACCAATTGGATTATAACAGCAGCACATTGTATACAGTATGATATTTTTAATTGTTTGAAAAAGTTTTTTTTTAAAGTATAATAATTATTTAGTAATTTTTTTTGTTTAATAATAAGTACATTAGTATAGAGTTTTTTTAGCATTTTTTTATTGATTGAAAAATATTTAATAAAAAATATTTAAATATAATTACAAATAATAACAGTTCCGATCGTACGATAACTGTTCGGACAGTTCAGGATACGGGACATAATAGACATACATATGGTGTTAACCAATGGTTTATACATCCAAACTATACGATTAATACGAAAGAGATGTATGACATCGCGCTATTGAAATTGAATAGTCATATAGGGATTACCAGATCATTGAATGGCAGATATTATACGGTTAACAGTATTTGTTTACCCGACAGTCATAGTGTTAATACCGATAAAGAGTTGGCACTGTTTGCTGGTTTTGGTTACATTGATGAGGGAGTCAGTAATCCGGGACAGTTGAGGACGGGTTGGTTGAAATTATTGAAAACATTGAATAATAATAGACATGATTTATGGGGTAATCAAATACAAGCACTCAGATATCCAATCGGTAAAGGATTGGCTGTTTGTAGAGTAGGTTTCAATAATTATTTTTTAATTTACAAAAAAGTTATCATTTTATTTTGTCTGATAAAACAAATTGGTTTTAAATGTATATACATATTATATATAATAATAATAATTTATATCTAATAATAATAATTAGGGCGATTCTGGCGGACCATTGATTCAATATGTTTCGGGTGGTAGTAGTGATGTTGTCATCGATCGGGCCGTACTTATCGGTGTAGCCAAAGGTTTTTTGGGTCAACCACTTGCTGGCGGTTGTCTCAGTGCTGATCCAAATACTTATATGACTTTTATAAGAGTGTCCAAAAAGATTGATTGGATTATTCAAACTGTTTTAAATAATTAATTGAATTTTATATTTTATATTTATTTAGTTTTTATTAACTATAATGTTAATAATTAAATAAAATAATTAAAAAAAAACATTAAATCTAACTATAATGTATTTAGTTATTTTTTATTAATTATTTGTTAATTATTTTATAAACAATTTAAAATAATAACATATATTACAATGATTTCAATTATTATTAATTAAATAATAATAAACTTTTAAATAGTATAATACTGTCTATAAAAGTGTTTTTGTTGTATTAATTGTTTAGATCTCTCAATCATATGTTGTTGTCGTTGATATCGTAACTGAAGTCTAATCAAAGTGTTTGGTCCACACCTAAGGTTGTTGTTATCAAACGGTTGGATGAAATCAAATGTGTGATCATTGCTATCACTAACAGTTGGTCCGCAAATGTTGTCCATATAATACCATTCAGTAGTCATTACTGTGTTTGTCATGACTTTTTGTTTGCGATAAATGATGACAATTATGACAAAAATCAATGATATTACTATACAAACGGCAATCCATGCTATGTTTGAAACATTATTATTGCTTTCTATTTCACCTTTTTTAATAAAATTAAATTAAAATTTAATATTTTACTATATATATATATATACAAATAAATAAATATATAACATTAAAACTTATTTTCTAGTTAAATAATTATTAAATAATTATTATAATTATCATTAGATGGTATAGTTGTGTTTAATTTGAGTTATATTACCGGGAATTGTACTGAGAGGTGATGTAATATTCAAGTCATTGGTAATTGTTGTTTCATTAATCAAATCTAATTAAGTTTTTAATAAAAAAAAATTTTGTGGTTATATTATTGGTTTATTTTTTAAATATTTTTATTTACTTACAATCAGTTATTGTTGTTGTTATCTTTGAATTAATTTGTGTATAATTATCGTATAATAAGTGTTGTCTGACTGTCAGTGGATGTGATAACAACAATAAAACCAATGGTATTAATGATATCTAAAATTTTAAATAAAAAACTTTTATAAACTTTATAAATTTTGTAAATACAAAGTCAAAAAAACAATATTATAATTATTATTTACTGTACCTTCAATAGTAATGTTAAATAACATATTGTAACTAAAAAATTAATTATAATTATAGATAAAATTTATTTATTTTTATTAAACACTACCAAAAAAATCAAGTATTTTAAATGATAATTGAAAACTAAATAATTATTAATTATATGAATCTTATTTATATAAAATGTATTTATACTGTAAATGCATATACTATTAAAAACAAATGATTATTTTTTACAATTATTTATATTATTAATTGATTTTTAAAAAATACAACAAAATTATTTGTTTAGAAATTTAGTTAACAAATTGTCTCACATTTTTTAATAATATTTTTTGTTAACAATAATATTTATCTTTATATTTATAAATATTTATAAGCCATAGTTAGGAAAAATTGTTTTTAGTTTTCTAAATTATATTTATATGCATTGTATTAATAATAATATATTTAAAAAATATATCATATAATGAATCATGATATAAATGAATCATATTGTTATTTATGAAAAGCTGATACTATTGATTGATTTTTTTTAATTATAAGATATTTTAAAAAATACACACAAATTAATAAATTGAACAATAATATAATAAAAAAGTTAGATTATAAATTCAATACATATTGATTATATAAACACACAAATGTATTATTAATGTTTGGTAATCATAAAAAACAAACAATATTTAAATATAAAAAAACAAATTGTAACTCAATTAGAGAAACATTACATAAAATAAATGAAATCAAATGAATTATTTAATTAAAATATATATATATATATATTTAAAATTGAAATGAAATTTAAAAAAAAATAAATCCAATTAATAAAACAATTAATGACTTCAATGACTTATAAAAAATATCGGTAAGTGTTGTTGTTGTGTATGATTGCCATCGGATGTCTGCTCTCTCTCTCTCTCTCTTAAGAGCCACACATAAGACATTCGTCTTTGTTCTGTAGGGAACAGATAAGCACCTCTTCGGCTGTTGGTTTGGTGGTCAGCCCCGAGCGCTTATCACCGCCACCGGTGGCCGTAGCAGTACCGGTCTTGGCTGTCAACTTTGACTTATCCACAGTAAACTGTATGGCATTGGCAGCCGGTTTTGTCCTCAGATAATACATTCCAGTTTTCAAACCCAATTTCCAGCCGTAGAAGTGCATTGACGTAATCTTGGCCATCGATGGTTCGGCAATATGAACATTCAACGACTGACTTTGATCGATATAAGCGCCGCGATCGGCGGCCATTTCCAGTATACGTTTCTGCGATATTTCCCAAACAGTTTTGTAGAGCGCTTTGATATCTTCGGGAACGATATTAATGTTCTGAACGGATCCGTGATTCGATATGATTTCCATTTTCAAATCCTCACACCAGAGACCGCGTTCGGTAAGATCCCGGAGCAGATGATGGTTAACAACCTAACGGTGCGATTATCATAAATAAATTAAATACATTTTAGTCCTGTATATATATATATATATGTACTGACCTGAAACTCGCCAGAAAGCACCCGTCGGGAGTAGATGTTCGATGTGTAGGCTTCGATCGACTCGTTGTTGCCCAATATCTGGGCGGTCGAGGCCGTAGGCATCGGTGCCAACAGTAGACTATTGCGAACACCGTGTTTGGCAATCTGGGCCTTCAAAGCGGTCCAATCCCATAGATCGGTTGGCTTGCGGTCCCACATATCGTACTGTAGTATACCTTTAGACACTGGCGAACCCTGATAGGTCTCGTACGGACCATCGCGGGCGGCCAACTCGCAACTGGCTTCCAGTGCTCCGTAATAAATGGTCTCAAATATCTGTATATTCAGTTGTTTGGCTTCGGAGCTCTCAAACGGATAGCGCATCAATATAAATGTATCGGCCAAACCTTGAACTCCGATACCAATTGGCCGATGTCTCATATTCGATCGTCTTGTTTCGGGAACCGGATAGTAGTTAATATCGATAATCTTATTCAAATTTCTGGTCACAACTTTGGTAACCTCTTTGAGTCTGTCAAAGTCATAGCGACGGCTTGAGGTGGTATTGTCGATGACAAACCTGTTCAATGCAATCGACGCCAGATTACAGACAGCAATCTCGTCGGGTGCCGAATACTCGACAATTTCAGTACATAAATTCGAACATTTAATTGTTCCCAGATTTTGTTGATTCGACTTTCGATTACAATGATCTTTGTAGACCATATAGGGATTGCCGGTTTCGATCTGCGACTCAACAATTGCATACCAGAGTGCCTGTGCCCTCACCTGACGTTTGTAACGTTTTTCCTGTTCGTACTTCATATACAACTGATCAAACTCGTCGCCCCAGCAGTCATGCAGACCGGGACATTCGTGCGGACACATCAGCGACCAGACGCCGTCCGATTCCACTCGTTTCATAAACAAATCGGGTACCCATAGAGCGTAGAACAAATCGCGGGCCCTGAGCTCCTCGGAACCGGTATTCTTGCGCATATTGAGAAACTGGAACACATCGGCGTGCCATGGCTCCAGATAGATAGCAAAAGCACCTGTAGGTGTCATAAAAATAAACCGTTACTGATTATAGGTGTGCCAACTACTATATATATATATATATGACATACCTGGCCGTTTGTTGCCGCCCTGATCTACATATCGAGCAGTATTGTTGTAGACACGCAACATAGGTACCAGACCATTGGACGTGCCATTAGTACCGGCAATGTAGGTCCCTGAAGCCCGTATACAGTGAACATTGATGCCGATACCGCCGGCCGCTTTTGATATGATGGCACACTGTTTAAGGGTATCGTAGATACCTTCGATCGAGTCGTCACTCATTGTCAATAAGAAACACGAGGACAGTTGTGGCCGCGGAGTGCCTATAATATGACAGATATATGAATTATAGGATAGATAGTTAACAGCTGACTGACTACCCACTACATACCGGCGTTAAACAGTGTAGGCGAAGCGTGAGTGAACCATCGCTCCGATAGCAAGTTATACGTCTCGATAGTGGCATCAATGTCCTCCTCGTGAATGCCTACGGCCACTCGCATCAGCATATGTTGCGGACGTTCGGCAACTTTGCCGTTAATCCTCAACAGATAACTTCGCTCCAGAGTCTTAAACCCGAAATAATTATAATGAAAGTCCCGATCGTATATAATGGCCGAATTAAGTCGTTCGGCATTTGCCATCACTACTCGATAGGTTCGGTCAGATATCATTGGCATCGGTCGACCAGTACTTTCGTTTGTCATCTGATACAAATCGGTTACCACTTCGGAAAAGTTTTTCTTTGTTTCTGTTAAATAGTCGACAAAAATTAATTAATTAGCTTTTGGCCAATCGGTTCGGTAATATATTGACAGACAGTTATCGGTAATGACGACAACAACAAACCTTTATGCAAATTTGAGACAACAATACGGGCGGCCAATCGGGCGTAGTCGGCGTGTTTGGTGGTCATTGTTGCGGCAATTTCGGCAGCCAATTCATCCAACTGGACAGTGGTTACACCCGAATAGAGACCGGCAATAACTTTCAAAGTAATAGCTGTCGGATCGATGTACTCCATATCCAAGCCGTAGCACAGTTTGCTTAGACGGGAAGTAATCTTATCAAACATTACCGACTCGTGACGGCCGTCCCGTTTCACTACAAACATCCTTTCCTTGTTGTTGCTGTTGTTGTTGTTGACAGTGACTGCGGTGGTGGCCATTGTCATCATATTGGCCATTGATCTCGGTATCGGCGTAACCGTTGCCGATGAACTTAACGATGACTTATCGGTGCCACCGTTTGCCGAGCCGTTTGTCGTCGACTTTTCATCCGATGGTGAGTTTGTTGTTGTTGTCGATGGCATGTCGTCGTCGTCTTCAGAGAGCAGATCCAATCAATAGGTGTCCCCAATGTTTGGTAATAATAGTTAATAATATATTTTATTTTTGTGTTAACTGTTTGAAGTCAATGACAGTTATTAATGTTTGTATCGTTTGAATTGATCCTTAAATACAGTTCACAAACAAATAAAAATAAATGTTTGATATTTAATACAGAGTTTAATGTATTGTTTATTACAATAATAGTGTATAATATTTGTGGGCATTATTTTAAGCGCCAATTCTGTATAAAAATGCAATAGTAGTATACGAGTCACTCAAATAAAGCGTTACTTATTAAATCAAAAGTGTGTTTAAATATATTAAAATTTAATAAAAATTTTTAATTAAATTGAAATTGTTTTTTTCTCATTAAAACATAAGTTAATTTTTGTTTATTATTTTCAACAATAAAAAATTAATAATAAGATATATCAATATAAAAAATAATTTATTTTTGGTATATTATTTAATTTTATAAATAGTGTAGGGTACTATTTTTTGTGTTTTATGTGTTATAGACATTTCTATTGATTGCAATGCATTACATGCAATTTAATTGATTGTGCATGCGCAAATTTTATTTTTCAAACGTTAATAATAATATACTTTACTGTACTCTCTCTCTCTCTCTCTCTTTCTCTCTCTCTCTCTCTCTCTCTCTCTCTCTCTCTCTCTCTCTCTCTCTCTCTCTCTCTCTCTCTCTCTCTCTCTCTCTCTCTCTCTCTCTCTCTCTCTCTCTCTCTCTCTCTCTCTCTCTCTCTCTCTYTCTCTCTCTCTCTCTCTCTCTTTCTTTCTATTATAAATGTATTGCAATTTTGAATGTAATATCAAGTAATTATTTATTCTATAATACAGTTAAACTATTTGTATCAACACATATCAAACACACATATAATGTTACAAAAATAGATTAAAATATCTATTTTTTCAATTAAAATAAATAAATACTATTGTACATTTCTATTTTTTTTTTAAATTACAATATTATTTATTTATTTAATTTTTTAGTTTGTTTTTTTTTTAAAAAAAACCTATACGGTAATGGCTAGTTATCTATTTTAGAATAGATTAAAAATTGATTAAGATTAAACTAGATAATTTTTTAAAATCTAGATTTAAAATAGTTTTAACAACTTTATTCTATTATATAAATAGTGTTTTACTTTACAATATTTTTATTAATAATTATGATCATAATTAATACAATATTAATTTTTAATTAATTTTAAACTTGGTACTAATAAATTTTTTTGTCTACTTGTATTATTTTCAAGATTTTTTTTTTCAATTTAAAAAATAAAATTAAAAAATATTACATCAACATAATATGACGTAACATTTTTTTAATTTATTATTGTATATATTATTTATTTACAGTTTATCTGTACTGTACTATATAAATGTGTGTTACTGTACTAAAAAACTATGATAGTATGAATCACTTATTTATTAAAAAATAAAAATATAAAAATAAAAAGTCATTACAGTTATTATAACCCATAGTATAATATAGGCCCAAATAGTTATCCAAATTAATACATAGCTATTCGGTACTATTTTAGGTAATACAAATATATTGTATATGTAATACTTTATAAACTTGAAATTGAATTGAAAAATACAAGTAATAATAATAATAATAATATAATTTATTTTAGAAATTATTAATAATTTTCATTACAAAACATACGGTTTATTATATGATATGATATTATTAAATGATAATTAAATTATTATTATTTAGTGTATAACTAATAACTATTCATAAAATAAATAAATAACACAAACAATACAATCATTTATCTCATCAATTGATTAATTGATTTATTATTATTATTAAGTGTTTATTTAATATATAAAAATTTGTTTGATTTTTAAACAACAAAATCAAACACAAACTATAAGTTGAATACAATTTTTTTTCATTTATTTGTTTTGTTAATTAAATTTAAATTATTAATTGTTTGCATAAATTGCTTTAAAAATATTAATTGTGTCCACAACTTAACTGATCCATCAATTGATCCATTGATTGATTGATTGATTGATACCATCGCACGTGTGATTTGATTGTTGTCATTCATCAGTGAAGTAGTATTTATTATTATAAAAAAATGGCGGCAAATGAATGGCAGATATCGATGGTTATGAACGACTTTGTCAACAACCGGGCTTTCGGTAATGCCATCAATTGGTTGTCCCGATATATTGCTAGCGACACTAATGACGGTCCTATTGGACGGGCGTACAATATGTCGTCGACGACAACGACGACGACAGCTGATTCACTACCCAGGGATCAGCTGTTCAGAAATCTTTGTTGGCGATCCTATTGCTACTATCGGCTCAAGAGATACGATTTGGCACTAAGCGATGCTAAACGGGCCACTAATTTGGCCTCCGATCGCTATCAACCCTATCTATTAGGTCAGTAGTATTAACCCGATCACAACCTGAATCTCTCGGGTGATAACCACTTGATTTGATTGTCTTTTTCTTTTTTTTCATTGATCTTCAGGCGGTTTCATACAAACAGATCTCAAAAAATACGAAGAGTCACTACAGCTGTTCGAGATAGCCATTCGACTTAATCATAGATTATTTGAAATACTAATCGAAAGACTTAACTTTTTGAAGTACAAAGTGCTGACAAATCGCGGTTTCGATGAATTCATTAGTTTTAAGTCAGCTCTTCAGTGTCGATATGTAGAAGAATGTGCCGCTTATGTTAAACAACAAACGGTTAGTAAATCTATCGATCTGGATGTGTTCAAACTAATCCAAGACGATGATGATCATCATCAGCAACAGCAGACAACGGCCAACAACAACAGCAGCGGCGGCGATAGCATCATCAATGGTAATAATATCAACAACGGTTTTAAGCCAACAACAACATCATCACCGGAACCCCTTTGGGAATCAGTATTTGGCGATCATATGTATATCAGTAGTCGACGTTCGCCAGCAGATAGTATCGGAGGTGTATCGTCAACGACAACGGCAACGATGAATGATAAAGCATTTTTAGACGACTACTGTTATAAAGATGATCCTAAAGTTTATTTAGACGATGAATTTGATCCTAAATTGGACATCGATGACAATGATGACGATAATAATAATGATAATAAAGTTAATAATGACGACGACGATGACGATGAATACGTTGACGACGATTCGGATAACGAATCATTGGATTTAGAGTTTAGAGATCTATTACGAGATAAAACAGTTGATAATATTGACCAAAACAATAGCGCCGATAATAATAAAAAAGAGTCGAGTCCGCCGTGGGTGACAATCGGTAAATCGCGTACAAATGTCAACTCAAAGCCAATGGTCAACAATAGCAACAACAGTAATGATAGTGGTGGTGGTGGTGGTCATCAAATCCCAAACAACGATATGGGCGGTGCGTCACAGTTGTGCACATTTGAGGAAACGGCTGCCGCCGCCGCAGCAAATAACGGCCTACAGCGCACTGGTCGCGTTCGTACCGATAGTTGTACCTCAAAGTTATCGGATAAAAGTAATGGCGGTGGAAAAGCGTACGTCGAAAATGTGGTCACAAATCTACTTAAACTACGCGGCGTCTATATCGGTAACTTGAAGACCAACTGTTCGGAAAAAGAGCTGAAAGCTGCGTTCAAAATCTACGGCGATATTATTGACTTCTATAAGCCGGCCGGCGAGACATACGTATTCGTACACTACAAATCGCACGAATCAACTGGTCGACTATTGGCCGACTGGAATGGCCGCCAATTCCCGGGCCAATGTCAGGACGGCAAACGACTGGTCATACGGTTTACCCCGAGTCAGGAGCAGATGTCTAAATATAATTCAATATCGTTGGATGAATATAAAAAACGTTGTAACGATGCCTTGGAGTGTCATCTGTGGCGTTCAGGTCAACGGTGCAACTATGATCGGGAATGTCAGTTTCGACACGTGCCTGCCTGTCGTGCCATCGATACCGTACCCGACAAGCGTAAGTCCAAGTGGAAAGTGCTCTGAAGAGTCATACATACCGTAATAAAGTGAGACATAACTGTACTGTAACATACCGTACCTATTGTGTATGTATGTTTGTGTGCCATCCATAAGCATAGTCAACACAACAAGTATTAGTTCAATAATTTAGGCTATCATTTATTATTATTATTATAAATATTAACTACCATTCCTCTCAATTATCTATCTATCTTACAATGCATTTTTTTATTACCGCAAATCAGCTGTGATTTTTGTATAATTTTTTTTAATTATTACCGTAACTCCACACACATACATACCATTTGATTGATTGATTTGTGATTTCAATGATAATGTTAATTATAATAATAATTTTTTTTATCTCTGTGTGTTTACAATTAAATTGTTTTTTTTTAAATCTATTAGTTAATTATAATTAAATAATACACACACAGACACACAAATAAACACACAATAAGTACCGAATTTAAATCATTCAATTGAAATCACATTATTATTATTAGAAAGTAATTTGCAGCAAATGATAAAATTTTTGTTAACATTTTTTATTAATAATAATATGCAAATTATTTATTAAAAAAATATATAATTATAAAAAAAATCAGTTATCAATTTGTTATTGAAAGTTGTTTTATTGTTGTTGTTGTTGTTGTCATTGATGATGATGTTGTGCTCAAGCACTGGGATATCGTTCAACAATCATTGCGTGTCCCTTAAGAAAATAAAAATAATGTAAACGATGTGATAAATCAAATAATTAATTAAAAAAATTTAAAAATAAATAAATTATTTAGTCAACAAAGTCAACAAATATATATATATAATATTATAATGATATATCAAATTAATGGATAAATTTTTATGTTCTCAAAAGTGCCCAAAAAATCTATAACTTAAATATATCTATAAATATATTGTGAAAATTTTTGTAAAATTTTATATATTTTTTTTGTCTATAAGTACAGTGTATAACCGTATGTTTCACACTAATTGATTAATTTGATTGATTACCACAACTATTATCAAATATAATGTTATTATTATTATTACTGTAAGCATCATATTAAGCATATCTATGTTAAAAAAAAAAATAATTTTTGGTAATAATAATAATCATAACTGCATTAATTAATTTGTTAACTTATATTATATGCATGTTTGTACGGATTAATTGACAATACGATATTAATTAAATAAATAAAACTATTGTTTAAAAAAATATGGGTTCTCTCACTCTCTCTAAACATGTTATTTACGGTATATATAGAGATAGATATGTATTTCCCGATTACGGGTCTATACCGCTCTATTACTGGTGGTGTCTATATTCATGGTAAGTCAACTTCATGTGGGGTTTAAAAATAATGTCAAAACTAACTATCGGTACTTTTTTTAAAAAAAAGTGTACCGATAAGTTTTAATTATAATGAATAATAGTATTGAATTCATAGATTATGAATTACCAGTCCTCCTGCAGCACAAGCGGCCACCAAACCGAACCGTCCGTTCTCTTTGATCAAACGATTGGCTGTTGTTGTCACCAATCGTACTCCAGTAGCGCCGAACGGATGTCCAATCGATAGGGATCCGCCCCACATATTAAATTTGTTGAGATCGGGTGCGCCAAACTTGCCGCTCCTTTTCATATACTCTTTGGCGAACCAGTCCGAGTCCAGCGCCTTGAGATTGGCCAATATCTGGCCGGCGAAGGCTTCGTGAAACTCGAAAACATCGATATCTTTAAGTGTGAGACCAGCCTTTTGTTTGTGCGGTAATAATACACATCAGTGATTAAAATCAATTGTTATCCCCCAACTAACCCACACCTCCCACTATCAATACCTTTTCCAGTAGCCGCGGTGTGGCGTAAGCCGGTCCCAATAGTAGCTGATCCTTCGGATCTTGCGATACGTACAGAAATTGTCGTAAATAGGCTTTCGGTTTGAGTCCCAATTGTTTGGCCTTGTCTTCGGTCATTATCAGACAAGCCGATGCACCGTCAGTCAAAAAACTAGCATTGGCTGCCGTAACCGTACCGTACGGCTTAACAAAAGCCGGTCTCAGTTTGGACATCTGTTCCATAGTTGATACGCGAATACCGTTATCTTTGTCCACCAGGCCCTTCTTGGGCACAGTTATGCCCTCGATATCAATAAGATTGCCCTCTTTGGAGGCCTTATCGGCCAACATATGCGAGCGCAGTGCGTACTCGTCCTGTTCGCGACGCGACACTTGAAAACTGGCAGCCAATCGATCGCCCGAATGGCCCATCACTTCGCCAGTGGTAAACTCGGCCACTGCTGGCAACTATTGAGACACAAACAAACAATTGCCGATAACTTTTTGAATATCAAATAAAATTGATGTAAAAATAATTATAATACTTCGGGCACGAAATAGTCGGGTCGTAACTGCAATAACATTGACAGCCGCTGTGCTGTGGACTTGGCTTTGTTCAGACTGAGCAACCATTTTCTCATTTTACGCGAATGTCGAATCGGTACGTCGGACATGGTTTCGACACCGCCGGCCACTGCAGTTTCGTACAGTCCAGAGTTTATGTAACCGATTGCCGACGTAATGGCCTGATTGCTCGATATGCAGGCTTGGGTTACTGTATGGGCCGGTGTAGCCAACGATATACCGCTCGACAGTACAGCCTCGCGAGCAATGTTACCAGTTTTCGGCTCCTGTATGACAGTACCGCACACGACATAGTCGATGGCGTCTTTCGGCAAACCCGTGCGTTTCAATAGGTTTCTAGTGAGTGAGAGAGAGAGAGAGAGAGAGAGAGTTTAAGGTCACAATCTGATGACCTAATGATCGCTTCAGCGGCGGTAATGGACTTACAGTATGGCCTGTGTCTGCAGCTCGTAGGCCATCAAGTCTTTGTAGTCGGTATTTGAATGGTTAAACGGTGTCCGCACGCCGTCGATGAGGACAATATTTTTGCCAAACTTTGACGTATCAAACGTCTGAACGGTTCGCGACTGTTGCTTCTGCTGTTGTTGTTGACCGCAGGCCAGCGGCGCCATCAATCGGGTGGTGGCGGCCGTCAATGTCTTTGTCCGACACAACGATAACATAGTTTTTTTTGTTATTTGCGGTTAATTAATGCGGTAAATGAAATATCAGTTTCCGATATATATCATATATGGCCACCGGGAAAATCTCAAACGGGATGCTGACTGCGGGAGAGATAATAGACAACACAAAAAACAATTTAATTACAGTCTCTGATGATAGCCACTGGCCAGTGACCACCATTACGGCCGTAGCCGATATACAAGGGGGTCAATGACTTGTTGTGTGTTTAATACATTGACAAACAATTATTATTATAATTAATATCATAATAATAATAATAATTATAAATAAAATAATAATATGAATAATACATACAATTGATTGATTGATTTAAATTAATTTATTAATTAAATTAATTATTGATTAATTAAATACTGGATATAAAATGTTTATCAAAACTCTGTCAATACAATCAAACAACAAAATATATTTTCAAATTAATTAAATTAAAATAAAATGTTTACAAAAATTATATTTATTTTTTTCCCAATAATTATAGGAAAATTTTTGTGTTACTATTAATTATTATTAAACTAAAAAAAAAAATAATTTAATTTTTTAATTTTCAAACAGTACTCTACAAATGTATTGACAATTATTTTAATACAATGATTGTATTAATAATATAATATTCAGTACTTTAAATAAAAACTGTAATAAATTGTTTACACTATGTATATGACTAAATAGATTATAAAACCCGGTTTACTTTAGATGTACTGTATATCCGATCCGAAAAAATATTTTTAATTAAAATTTTAAAATTAAAAATCATTATTATTATTCTATTCAAAATAAAAATTTACTTATAATTAAATAGTTAAAATTATTTTATTTTTTAAAAAAAGATAAATTTATGTAATTTTTAACTTTGAAAATAATTCTGATTCCGATTATTTATTATTATGTAATCTATTCAAAAACAACAACAAAAAAACCCAATACGTAAACCGTTTAGATCTCTACTCTACTATTTAAATGTACTATGATAAAAATTATTTTAAGTCTAATCATAAATTACGTATCCATATTTATTATGTCCCCTATGTTTGCCAAACATAACCATTATATTAATAAATTAATAATAATTTCTAATTTAATTTTTAAACATAATTAATGGGTTACTGATATAATACTGTGTTTGTACCCAAATGTACTCTATTTGTAATATATTTTTTTTATAAAGTAATAATTATTTTTTGTTCAAAAAATGTACTTGTATAAAATGAAAATCTATATGAAAATTACTAATCGATATACTTTTTTTTTAAAAAATTAATAAATTATTTTTTGCATGTACTATTTTTTTAATTTTTACAATAAATCTTAATTTATTTATAGTTTAAATTAATTAATTAATATTTTTCTTAAATAGTTTTTTTTAAATTTAATAATCTTGATATAATTATTTTTGTTGTTGCAATATTTACATTAATTATTAATATTTTAAATACAAAACACATAATATATTTACTAATAATTATCTAAATAATATATATATATGTAAATATTAATAAAGAAAAATATTATTATTTTTTATATATCATATTTAAAATAACTATTAATTTAGATATATATATAATTTATATACTGTATAATACAATCTCGAAAGTAAAATTTAATAAAAGTTATCATATATATATACTGTATATATTTGCATTATTTATGTATATCAAATAATAAAATTTGTTCAAATCTATTATTCAATTGCATCAACAATTAATAAACAGGTTTTTTTGTATATAAAAAATTAAATATAGGTATTAATACTACTACCTGTAGTTATATACAGTATAATAATATAAACCTACAGTACCTAATAGTACAGTAATATAAAACAGTATTATAGTAATATGTCTGTAAAAATAAGAGTTATATTATAAGTTTATTAAAAATAATGTTTTTGAAAAAAAACATTACCTATTATAATAAAGTTATAGATATTAAATATTATAATAATATAATACTAATTTTAATTTCGATAACTTAGGTCAATCAATTATTAATTTATATATACAGTAGTACTGTATATTATAATATTATAATATTATATAATTTTATTATATTGTATAAAAAGTATTACCCCAATTGAAATTGAATATATATATATAATTCCAAAAATTATTACCCCCTAAACTATACAATCATTTAACTAACACCGGCCCCAAACCACTTGATGTTGGCTGCATAATGGTTGGCCACTGTACGGACCGATTTGAACAGTTAGATGATAACCAACGACTCAAACAGGAGCTGTTGTGCGGAATCTGTCGGCAAGTCATTGCCGATGCCATACAAACCCAATGCAAACATAACTTCTGTTACGACTGTCTTAAGACTTATTTGTCGTCGTCGTCTGTGATATCAATCAAAGTGTGTCCCAATTGCCGACAATCATTGATTACCAGAAAACGCAAGAAAAAGAGGAAATCATTGTCTGTCAACAACAACAACAGCAATGTCTTGGAGATTATGCCGAACATATGGGTTGAAAGAAATGGTAAACTAAATAACATTATCGGCTCATTGAAAGCCCGATGCGATTATCACTGGAACGGCTGTCCAGTAGCCATGGAGTTGGACACGATTGACAGTCATCACAGCCTATGTGAGCACCGTAGGTGTCGTAGATGTGACCAACTTTTGGTTGTTGGCCAGAGACACGACGGCGATCATAATAACTGTGTCGATGCACTCAAAGAGCAATTAGCTTTCATAACCAACAAATGTGATACAATTGTCACCGAAAAGTCTGAACTCAACGAATTCTTTGGTCAGACATATACTAGAATACAAAAACAGATCCAAGAATTGTCGGCAAGTTGTCGACAGTTTAGGGCCACCGATGATGATAATGATAACAATCTGAAGACAGCGGTTACTGTTTGCCAAACGGTTTACCGAAAGTTTACAGAAGAGAAACAACGACTGAAAAGTATGGAAAGTAGTCTAAGAAGTCTTCTTTTACCACCAGTTGTTGGCGATATCAATGATAGTATGCATTGTTGTCTTGTTTGTGACCAATCAATAGCCAGTAGTGATCGACCATTGGTTGTCTGCAGTAATATTGATTGTGTAATTGAATTTCATTTTAAAAAAAAATTAATCTATAGTTTTATTTATAAAACATTTAAATATTTTAAATACAGTACAAAGTATTTAGTGATTGACTAATAAAAATTAATTAATTTGTTTTGTTTGTTTGTTTTAAAACACAGTCAAACAAATTTCATATGTCATGTATAGGATTCGATCGGATACCCAATGACTATATGTGTCCAAATTGTTTAATAAATTCAACAAATAGGTTAGGAAAATCACATTTATTTATTATTTAAAAAAAATATTAGTAATTGAATAACTGGTGGTATTATTAGATATCTTCAAAGACAACTTCAACCAAATAATAGTTCAACAATAAAACGCTTTTTCTTTCATCCATGTATTGGATTTGCTCCCATACGGCTCCGGCAGATCTTGTTTGGCACTGTTAGGTTTACAACTGCGACCATCAAATTCAATGAAACCAATTTCATATTGTTTTGTGTGGGCAGAGAAGGAAAAGGAGTAGGTGCCGGCAGTTCATCGTCGGTGATGGATGTTGTTGTTGACAATAACAACAAAAGTAGCTATCATTTGACAATACCCTACAATCACATACAAAAGATGATGACCTCTATTATCGACAAAACATTAGTTATATTGATTAGTAAATTTGCCAACAATAAGGTTAACAATTGTTTGGGGTTTAATAATAATAATAATATCACTAATGATAGCACTAAGCGATTTGATACCGATTCCGATGGTTTGTCTAAGATTTTTGTTTTTTAAAATATTAATTTAAATCAAAAATTCATATCAATGTGTATGTATGTATGTATGTATGTATGTATGTATGTATGTATGTATGTATGTATGTATGTATGTATGTATGTATGTATGTATGTATGTATGTATGTATGTATGTATGTATGTATGTATGTATGTATGTATGTATGTATGTATGTATGTATGTATGTATGTATGTATGTATGTATGTATGTATGTATGTATGTATGTATGTATGTATATATATATGTGTGTGTGTGTGTGTGTGTGTTATAATAAAGTTTAAAATTATCAATATATATATATATATTAATTATATTTGGGATTAACACACAGTAATAAAATTTCCAACTTTTATCTTTTTATATAAAACACTAGATATACGGGAACGTTATGTATTTATTCAGTTTGAAGATTCAAGTGAATGTATGTTTAAATTTTTGGATACAATAGAATGTGATGGTCAACGTGTTTGTCACCCAATTAACGATCATATCTTAGGATATGTTATATATATTTTGTCAAAATATAAAACACAAAATACATTAACATCTAACAAACAAATATGACACTCTATATTATTAATAATTAAAAAAAAATAATACTACCTATAATTTTATATAAAAATTTATTACCAAATAATAATAATAAAGGTCTCAATATGATTAAATTGAAAACTTAAATAAACATTTTTGTTTTATTAAAAAAATACTTATGTTAAAAAATACAATATGTTGTATAAAAGTTATGAATACTTACGGTATTATTACTGATTTCATAAAAACAATTATTATTTAAAAAAAACAAAATAAAACAGGTTTTTAAAGTTAATACGTATATAAAAAGTATTATTCAATTTATTACATACAGTATATTATATAATAAATATTTTTTGTTTAAAATTAATTAGTGTCTCTACTGTATACTAGTTTTTTTTGTGTGGATAATAATGTAATAATATTTTATTTAGTGTGTAATATAGTCGGGTTAGAAAAAAACATTAATTTTATTGTTGTTTGTTTGTTTGGTCACTACTACTGGATAATGGTTGGCCACTGTACGGACCGATTTGAACAGTTAGCTGATAACCAACGTCTCAAACAGGAGCTGTTGTGCGGCATTTGCCGGGAAGTCATTGCCGATGCCATACAAACACAATGCTTAGGCAAACATAACTTTTGTTACGATTGTCTCACTTTATGGCTGTTGTCAGGAACGGACACCAAAGTGTGTCCAGAATGTCGACAATCGTTGACCACCAGAAACAGTGGTCAACTGCTGCCGAATCATAGTGTCATAGAGTTAGTTCCCGGCGTATGGGTTGAACGTAATCGTACATTGAATAACATTATCCAGGGATTGAACACCCGATGCGACTATCACTGGAACGGCTGTCAAGTGTCGATGCCGTTGGACACTATCGATGGCCATATTGCCGAATGTTCTAAACGTTTGTGTCAAACGTGTGACCAACAGCTGGTTGTTGGCCTAACGCGCGACGAACACTGCTGTGTGGATGCACTGAAATCGGCGGTCGTAGAGATGACCGGCCGATACCAACAGTTAACCACCGATAAGAGTCAACTTCAGCAACGCTTTTCCGCCCATAAGAAAGTCTTAGAGCAACGACTCAAGCAATCGGTGATCAATTTTAAGCGACTGAAGACAACAGACATGAAGTATAATCAAGTGGTTGCCTGTTGTCAATCGTTTTACCGAAAGTTTCAAGAAAAACGTCGACAACTTAATGATATGGAAAGTCAATTAAGAAGTCTATTACCGACGGAAACTAGTGGTAACCTAACAACAACTGTTGATGACATCAATTGTTGCCTGATTTGTGACCAAACTCTCGGTAATCGGCCACTGATTGCGTGCAGTAATACTATTTGTGTAATAAATTATTTTATTTTTGTTTTGTAATTTATTTTTCATTACATTTGAGTATATTTTTATTTTTAAAAAACTATATTATATAAAAAAACTAATATTTAATAATTACAATAATACTAATACTATATATATATTTGTTTGATTCAAATTCTTGACAAATATTGAATTAATTGTTTTATTTAATTTTTTTTTAATTGTCCAAACAGTCGACCAAATTTCATATGACTTGTTTAGGACTCGATCATAGACCCGATGATTTCAAATGTCCCAATTGCTATACACAAGTGTCGGCGACGACAACTATACCTAATACAGCAATTAATCAGTTAATCACTAGCCAATCAAATCGAGGACAGCCACCGCCACCATCAGCAACACGACCACTGGCCGCCACCACTACCACCGCATTCAGATTGACCGGACCTCAAACAGCCCGGCGTAGCATTGGACCTATCGGTATAGCATATATTAATAGATACCAGTCCCAGAGATCGCCAACACGGACGCGACAAATGGCGCGGCGGAGCACCGGCCCGAGGATATATAGATATCCATAAATAATAATAATAATAATTGCTATATATTATAAACTATTATAAACTATACTGGTCAAAATTATGTTTAACAATATACTGTATCTCATCGTAATATAAATATAATAAATATCATATTGTATTATGTGTTAACAATTTACCGGTAGTTTTTAATTATATATTATATATATACTGTATATTATATAATACATATTACAGATAAGATTGTGTATTTAAAACAAAAATAATTTATTATTAATTAACTAATTTATTAATTAATTAATAAAGTAATAAATTATTGTACTTTTATATAACTATTATAAATATATACTGTATATAAATGTTTTAATGGTTTTTTTATCAATAAATATTAGTTAGATAAAAAATTATCTAAATTATCTAATCTAAATATAAAAAATATCATAAAACAATTATTTAATATATTGATTATTTAATAAAAAAAATTAAAGAGATATTTCCAGAAAGTCTTAAAAAATAAATTTAATTAAATAATTTTCTTAAAATTATATAATTAAACTTTAAAAAAATAGTACTGCATATAAATTTTGTATATAAAATAAACATTATTTATTTAAATGGCAAAAAAATTGCATCAACAATAATAATAATGTAATACCTGTTTTTAATTTATACATTAAATAGTTTATTTTGAAATATATTTTCAATAGAGTAGTATTTATATTCAATTACTGTACTTAATGTACAATAATATAACTTACTATAGAATACAGTATACCGTATAAAATAGTGCATCAAATAAATACAATATATAAAAAATTAAATACAGGTATTATTATTAATGCTATTAATAGTTATATACCTACAGTACTACCTATAGTAAAATCAAACAGTATTGTAGTAATAGTATATCAATTAGAAAGTTATAATTATAAGTATAATAAAAATAATAATGATGTAAAAATACATTGCGTATTAAAGTTATAGATATTTTTTAAAAATATAAATTTTCAAATAACTAATTTGTAAATCAATCATGAATTATATATATACTGTATTATATAATAAGTATATTACTGTATAATTATATTGTAAAAAGATTATTACTAATTATACAAAAAAAATTGTTTATATAATTGTTTTTTTTTAAATTATTATTACCCCATAAACTATACTAACTTTAACTATCCGGACAACGATAATGGTTGGCCACTGTAGCAACCGATTTGTACAGTTAGCTGATAACCCGCGACTCAAACAGGAACTGTTGTGCGGTATCTGTCGGCAAGTCATTGCCGATGCCATACAAACCCAATGCAAAGACAAACATAACTTCTGTTACGATTGTCTCAAACAGTGGCTGTCGTCGTCATCGTCGTCGTCGGGAACGACGGTCGCGACCAAACAGTGTCCCGAATGTCGACAATCATTATCATCGACCAGAAAACGCAAATACAGTCACGAATCAGACGTGAATAATACCGTAGAAATTGTTGCCGAAGTATGGGTTGAACGGAACAGTAAGCTAAACAACATTATCGGTTCGTTGAAAACCCGATGCGACTATCACTGGAACGGTTGTCCACTGGTTGTGCCTATGGATACACTAAGTGGTCATCTGATTGTATGTCAGCATCGGTGGTGTCGTACATGTGGACACCAATTGATTGCTGGCCAGCGCAGCGATCAACACAACTGTGTCGATGCACTCAAAGGTCAGATATTGCTTATAAGTAACCGATGCGTAACATTGACCACTAAATTGGATGATCTTCAGCAACGTTTCGATGGCTACAAACGTCAGTCGACTCAAAGTAATCAACAGTTATTATCCGTTAATAAAACAATTCAAACGGAAAACGTCCGTAAGTTTCAGTCAATGAGCACTTGTTGTCAGACATTTTACCGAAAGTTTCAAGAAAAGCGTCGACGACTTAATGATATGGAAAGTCGATTAAGAAGTTTATTATCATTACCGCAAACTAGTGGTAACCTAACTGCTGATGACAGCAATTGTTGCCCGATTTGTGACCAAACAACTATCGGTGATCGGCCAATGATTGCGTGCACTAATACTGTTTGTGTAATAAATTGTTTTTTTTTGTTTTATAATTTATTTTTTACTAACATTGACTATAGTTTTTATTTTTTTAAAAACTATATTTTCTTAAAAAAACTAGTATTTAATAATTACTATAATATATAATATTTCTAAAATGTTAATTGTTTTTTGATTCCGATTCTTGATTAATATTGATTTAATTGTTTTATTTTTTTTTTAAATTTATCCAAACAGTCGACAAAATTTCATATGTCTTGTATAGGATTCGATCGCAAACCCGATTACTTTAAATGTCCCAATTGTTATACCTATAATACGTCGTCGACGACAACTATAGATAATTCATCAATTAATCGGTTAATCAATAGTCAATCAAATCGAGGACCGCCACCACCACCTTCAGCAACACGACCACTGGCCGCCACCACTACCACCGCATTCAGATTGACCGGACCTCAAACAGCCCGGCGTAGCATTGGACCTATCGGTATAGCATATATTAATAGATACCAGTCCCAGAAATAATAATAATAATAAATATAATATATATATATATATTAAAGATAATTTTTAACCAGTGTATATGATCAAATATAAAATCATATATAATGTACAGGTATATACTATATTAAAAATAAAATAAAAATTAATTTGCAAATATCATTATTTATTATATAATTATTATATACAATATATAATATTACCGGTAATTAAAAAATTTTTAGTTTATATACTATATAATACATATTACAGTTAAAATTATTAAATTATTATTATTAATTAATTAACAAACTATAATAAATTTATGTTATTATACTCTACAGTAAAATAAATATTGTACTGATATATTGTATAACAATTTTAATAAATGTTATTTACTGTAAATATCATATAAAGATTACATCAATAATAATAATAATTTAATACTTGTATGTGTTTTTTGGTAGTAAATAAATAAATATTTATTTAAAAAAATATCGATAAAATTAATAATTATTATTATTAGAAATTAATTTTACTCTAAAATTGTATTTTTATTATTAATAAAAAACTTGTTTTTTAATTCATTCATCGATTTGTTTGGTGACGATATTTATGTTCAAAAAAACTTGTTTTTTAAAGTTTTTAATTTTATTTTTATTTTTTTATTATTTTTTATTTTTGAGTATTAATACAATAATTATTAAAAAAAAATTAAATATCATATCAAATATAATATAGAAATTAGTTTTTTGTTTGTTTGTATTATTAAATTGTAAATAAAATGTTTTAATTAAGTATTATATTAGACAACAAAACAAACCCATAATTATAATCATCTGTTTGTTTTACCGATGGTTGGCCACTGTAGCGACCGATTTGAAGAGTTAACGGACAATCCGCGACTCAAACAGGAACTGTTGTGCGGTATCTGTCGGCAAGTCATCGCCGATGCCATACAAACCCAATGCAAACATAACTTCTGTTACGATTGTCTCAAACAATGGCTGACCACGAGATCGGGAACGGCGGACAACAACAACAAAGTTTGTCCCGAATGTGGAAAATCATTGTCGACCAGAAAACGCAAATACAGTCAATCGGATGAGAATACTGTAGAAATTGTTCCCGAAGTATGGGTGGATCGGAACTCTTCATTCAATAATATTATCGGTTCGTTGAAAACCCGATGCGACTATCACTGGAACGGATGCCAAGCAATGATATCGTTGGACACACTGGCCGATCATCACCCGGTGTGTGAACATCGCTGGTGTCTGATTTGTGACCAACAGTTAGCCGTCGGCGAACAGTCACAGACTGAACACAACTGTGTGGATGCGTTGAAACAGTTGGCGGCGACAGTGACCGATGAAAAGTGTGGACTTCAGCGACAGTTTGACGAATACAAGAAACTAACTGATCAACAGATCCAACAATTGTCAGTCACTCGTCTAATGTATATTATAAACGAAACGAGACTTAATCAGGAAAAGGCTAACCAACAGCTAATCTATGATCAATACAAACGACAATCGGATCAACAGATCCAACATTTGACGGCCAAATGTTCGATACTAACGGCAAAAGAAAAAATATTGACCGAAGAAAATGGTAGACTTGAGCTTGAATTTGATGAACACATGAATGTTTGCAGCGAACAGACCAAACAATTGGCAGAATTGATGGAACAGAATAAACGATTGATGACAGCAGTGAACAATAGTTGTCAACTATTATCAGAAGCAAAGACAACAACAATAACTATTGATGACGAAGACGATGACAATGATGTCGTCGATAATGATAACGACACAGACATCGATAACAACAACGATAATAATGACGATGATATTGATGACAATGTCGAGGATGACAACGATGATAGTGACTGACAGTCGATGATAGCGACAATATATTTACAAAATATTTGAATAATATTTAATTTACAATTATTATACTTTACTTATTATTATTATTACATTTACTACTATATATTATCGCTAATATTATATAATTTTATCTATATTTTAAATATATATATATATATATATATATTTCAGATATCTATAAACAGTATATAATACTCTGTAATATTTTCCAATGGATTAACTAATTAATTTTTAGACAACAATAATAACACCTTATTAGACAAATCTCACAGATAGTAGTCACACACATACATACATACATACAATGTGTAAAATAGAGTTTAGTTTTTTTTTGATTATTTAGTTTTATCTTTCAACTCATTTTATTTGCTGAAAATTAATGAAGTTTAACTACAGTATACATAAACTGAGTAGTATTTTATAGTAAATGCAAATTTTATTCACCAATTGTTTTAAAACTCAGATTGTTATTGTTAAAAATTAAAATATACAATAATAATAATAAAAATACTACTAATAATAAAAATTTTTAAAATATTAAAATCATTATATTGTTGGATATATAATTTGTTTGATTTCATCAGTAATTGGTTGAAAAATACAGTGCGGGTTAAATTGTTGTACGTTTTGTTTCTATGAATTAATTATAGTATTACTTATAATATAATCAAACTTTATAATTATATAGCGTTCCCTCATATCTATTAGCAAAAATACAAAATAGTAAATATATAATTACCGTATAATTACTATACTTACCGTCCGTACGCGCATATAGCCCCCTTAGGTCATCCGGGGCTAAATGTAAAACTATTGGGCAATATGTGAGTTACAACCCTACCAAAAGTTTGATTCAATAAATTCACAAATACCCCCACTATTTAAATTATTGAAGTTTTTTTAATGTATGTATTATTGCAAGGGGGACTATATGCGCGGACATACGGTAATATATATATATATTAAAAACATTAAAACTTATTTATAAATAATAATCAAACCGTTAGATAAGGTATCAAATCTCAGTGTCGGATGATTTTCAAACTGAAAAAGTTGTTTGACTTTATTATTGGTCACATTGTTGACCAACAGTGCCAACACCAGCAACGACTGGTCATTGGTTTCGTACATCAGTTCATCCATATCTTTGTAAAGAAACTCCAAGTTATATATACAGTTGAGTTGTTCCGGTGACCCCAATACTATCAAAGTAATACCGTTTAAATAGAAATTAACGCCCGAAACGTACCAAACATGAAGTTGATTTTTATCGACGAATCAATGTTTAAATTTTGTGTGTTTGAACAACCAGTTTGGTCACAATCACCGAAGCTATTGGAATGGTCTTTGAAATTGGTATAAAACGAATGACAAACGGTAACCAAATGATTATACTTTTGGTCAGTTATCTTAAGTTGCGTATAATTGGTGACCAATTTCTCTAGACTGTGCTGTAGTTCCTCCTTTTCTCGCTTAAGATCAATGTTTTCGGTGGTCAACACTTGGCATCGGTCGGTCAATTGCTGACATTTGCTGGTCATGTCTGCGACAACTAATTTCAGTGCATCAACACAATTATGTTCGTCCCGCGATTGGCCGACAGCCAGTCCCCGGTTACACGTTTGACACATCCATTTCGGACAATCGGCAATATGACCGGCAATCGTGTCCAACGACATCAATACTAAACAGCCGTTCCAGTGATAGTCGCATCGGGTTTTCAATCCATCGATTATGTTATTAAATGCACGATTACGTTCAACCCATACTTCCGGAACAATTTCTATACCACTACTACTACTATTGATTTGAGTGGTCAACGATTGTCGACATTCGGGACATACTTTGGTATCAGCCGTTTCTGACCTCGTCGTCAGCCACTGTTTCAGACAATCGTAACAAAAGTTATGTTTGTCATTGCATTGGGTTTCTATGGCATTGGCAAAGACTTCGCGACAGATACCGCACAATAGTTCGTGTCTGAGTCGTGGGTTATCAGATAACAGTTCAAATCGGTCGCTACAGTGGCCAACCATCGCAACCAACACGTATGTAAAGACAGGAGATTAGTATTTCATCTGTTATTAGTTAAACATCAAAACAATTCACAACTTTAACAAACTTATGATTTTTTTAAATTTTGTTTATTGTCTAATAATTAAAACTTAATTAATTAAAACTAAACACTTAATTATTGTAATTTAATTAAAAACAATATCTATATTACTATTATTATAATAATATTATTTGATATGATATTTGATATAATAATTAAATTGTATAAAATTTTAAAAAAAAACTACAAAACTGGGCACTACTTAAGGTTTAAAACTTTTTTAGATTGAGAAAAATAAGTAAAAATATGAGAATTTGTTTGACATATTCCCCAGCGTTTAACATTTATATAGGATTATATATACTTGGGTTAGTACACCATTGTATATCTGTATATATATATATCTGGGTCAGTTTTATTAATAGGCAAAAAAATATGTTTATATTAACTCAAAAGATTATAATATATAAGTAAAGTAAAGATAACTTTAACAGTGAGTAACTAATTAAACAGTGAAAAATTTAAATACTTTTGTGCAGACAATACAAAATATATACCTGAATATAGAAATCACATATAAATCATGTGATTATTTTGTTTTTAAAATAATTTTAAAACCCTTATTTCTATCATATGACTTTAAATATATGATAAATAAACATTATGACCCCATTAAAAGGGGGGGGGGGTAAGCACTGACTATTTTAAGTTGCCTGATCACCTCAATTATAAATATAAATTATATGTTAATCGTATTACTACAAAGCAAACCTAAACTATTAACAATATAATTTATAATATACTTTATAAAATTATTATTATTATTAAATAATAATTTTTAAGCAATTTGTTTTTGATTGTTTGTTAGTAAATTGCAATTTAATTAAGTTTTTAGTTAATTAAGTATTATATTAGACAACAAAACAAACAAAACATTAATAATAATAATCTGTTTGTTATTGATTTAGTATTGAAAAACAAATACTGTTATATATTTGTCGGAAAGACATCATTCATTATTCCCAATTGATTAACTAATTATTAATTTTATAAAAATTGAAATTTGAAACAATTTTTTTCAAATAACAATAAGTTTTTTGTTTTTGTTTTCATAATTTAGTTATAAAGATTTCATTTCAACAAAATTTATGATATATTTTTGTCATAAAAAATTGTTTTTATAATTTATAAGTATACAGTGATAATTTAATCAATACTAATAATCAATATTATAATTATTACAATATTACTATTTTTAAATATATGAATTAATACGTATAAAATACATACATACATACATTAGGTAAATATGTAGGTAAATAGTGGCTTAAAAATTATTAAATTATAATATGATAATACTATACATAATAATAATAGAAGTTTATAATAAATTATTATACTGTATAGTAGTTTAAGTTTGCATTGTTGCTACAAAATTAATATATATTTAAAGTATATTATAGGTAATCAAATTTATTATTAGTAATATTAATTAATAATTTATTACTAATAAATTAGTAATTATATACTATTATTGCTGCGCGATATACTGTTTGTTATATAACCTTAACATTTAAATTATTAAAAGTATTGGTAATTAAACAAACAAAACTAAAATATTTATATTCAAATATTTATATATAAAAAAAATAAACTATAAGTTATAGTCCTATAACTTAATATATTTATTTATAGTACACTATATTAAGCACTTGTTTAACAATTAAATAGCAATTAAATCTTTAGTTAAAAAAAATATTAGACAATTACCCGATAATCTGTGTCTCTGTTTGTTATAGTAGTAGTTGTTGTTGTTTCAGACAGAAAGCTAAAAGAAAACTACGGGTTTATGAAATGTTTGGTCACAATAGCGACCGTTTTGTTCAATTAGACGATCGACTCAAACAGCAACTGCTGTGCGGCATCTGTCACGACATCATTGCCGATGCCATACAATTGCAATGCGATGGCAAACATAACTACTGTTACCAGTGTCTCAAACAGTGGTTGTGGCTAATCCGGAGTTTACGCACATTAAAAAAATTTGATTTTTTTCAACAGATAATAGTTAATTATGACCTAAGAAACATATATCCATCAAAATTATTGCGCGGAAACACCTAAAACCTAACTAAAACCTAACCTAAATACATAAGCTCTCATAACATAATTCTATACTAATTATAAATAAATTAATATTAAAAAACATAAAGCGCGTGAATATAATTATCATTTATAACAACTTTAATAGAATAGTATTATTGTCATTTCTTTATACTTTTAAAAACAACTAGTTGTCCACGCGGAACATATAACCATCTAATTTTATAGAATTTATAAATTAATTGAACCACAATAATAATGATTTTAAAACATAAATCCAATATATTTAACGTACTGTATAAATTAGGTTAGGTTACCATTGAAAATTAGGTTAGGTTGCGGTTCGAACACCAGGTTAGGTAACGCGACAAACACTGATTCCGTAACCCAAGTACTGTATAAATTAGGTTAGGTTACCATTGAAAATTAGGTTAGGTTGCGGTTCGAACACCAGGTTAGGTAACGCGACAAACACTGATTCCGTAACCCAAGTACTGTATAAATTAGGTTAGGTTACCATTGAAAATTAGGTTAGGTTGCGGTTCGAACACCAGGTTAGGTAACGCGTCAAACACTGATTCGGTAACCCCAGTACTATATAGATTAGGTTAGGTTACCATTGATTATTATATTAAGTTGCGAAGACTATATATACATACAAACATTTTAAAATTATATAGTCGTATGGATAATAATATAAAACTATTGTTTTATTATACAGTGATTGATAACAATATTCACGCGCTTTATTTTTTTAATATTAATTTATTTATAATTAGTTATAATTATAATTATGTTATGAGAGCTCAGGTATTTAGGTTAGGTTTTAGTTAGGTTTTAGGTGTTTCCGCGCAATAATTTTGATGGATATATGCTTTTTAGATCATAATTAACTATTATCTGTTGAAAAAAATCAAAATTTTTTAATGTGCGTAAACTCCGGATAGGCCGTGGTTGTCATCGTCGGCTGTGAACAAAGTGTGTCCCGAATGTCGACAATCGCTGATAACACGGAAACGCAAAACTAGGCAACCGGTAAATGCCGTAGAAATTGTACCGAAAGTTTGGGTCGAAAGGAATCGTACACTCAATAACATTGTCGGCACATTACGGATCCGATGCGACTATCACTGGAACGGGTGTCAAGTGGTAGTACCGTTGGACTCGCTCGTTGCCCATGTAGGCCAATGTCCGTATCGACTATGTCAGACATGTGGCCATAGCATTGGCCAATCGGTAGACGATCAACACAATTGTGTTGTTGCGCTCAAAGCAGCGGTCGCCGAGATGACCAACCAGTGTAAGAAATTGTCGGATAAAAACAGTCAACTACGGCGACAATTGGACGCATACAGTAAGCAGAGGATAAACAATACAACCAACTGTCAACCAGAGACTAAGCCAGTAATTGATGAAAATGGTTGTGTTGTTGATGATAATAATGATGATGATAATCATCAACAAACACCATCTACATCGACACCACAGTTTATCTACAACTATAATCACCCGATGACATTGGACGCCGTTATGTTTGGCACCTATCGGATACTGGCCGACATCCGTTCAATGACCTGCAAGTTTAATGTCGATTATATTGAATTAGTGAATATCGTTTCACAACAACAGATACAGTGGTCCGGTTCGCACTACTGGTCACAAAACAATAATGGATTTTATCTGCCAATACATTATCGGCAAATACAGAAACTTATGTATGATAATACAGACCATCAATTGTGGCAACTGTTAGTCCTATCGGTCGACAGAGTGGCCTACGATATGGTGAAAGACTGGATGCGCTTTAATGATCAAAGCACCGGCCGATTTGACACAGAGTCTAATGGTTGTTGAGTTTTATATAATAATACCGTAATATAATTTATGTTATTTTTATTTTGTTTGCATATATATATTATCGCATAGATATCCGGGAACGGTATATAATACTTAAGTTTCGCAATAGATTGACTGCTAATAAAATTGATTCATTGAATCAATTGATACAACGAAACAAAACCGGGAACGGCAGTCAGTGTGTCTGTCAGCCCATTACCGATGATATCAGACATCATATTTACAATACAATGATGTAGTGGTCGTCATAATTGTGTCAAACAATTATCGTAAAACAATATCAACTAAAAAAATTGTTTGAATTTTATTTAAAATATTATTTATTTATTTGTCTAATTATAACTTCTTATAACTATTTATAACTATAATACTTAAGATTACATAACATCCATATTAATTATTTTTAATTATTTTTAATTATTAGATTTTTTAAAGATTAATATTTTTGCTTTACTATAGATATTACTATTTTAATTAATAATACTTTATTTTTATCTATTTTTTAAAATATTTGTAAAACATGTAACTAATTATTTTTTGTGTGATTATTTATTTAAAAAAAAATTATATTGTATTTTTTACTAATACTAAAAATTATTTTGAAAAAAAACTTTATTATTAATTTATTTTATATACTGTATAATATTTTTTCTAATTTAAATACTTGGAACAAAATTTATTTTTATTTTAAAATAAAATATCAAAAAACTATAAATACTTAATTTCTAAATAATCAATATTAAAATATATATGTTATGTAAAGTATTATAACATTTTATGYTAGAAAAATAATTTTATAACTTTTATAAATTTATATAACAGTATTAAATATAAAAAATTTGAAATAAATAAAAAATTAAATAGTTTGTTAAGTAATATAAATTCTATGACGTTATTATATTAAATTTAATTATTAAAAAACATATATTTTTATATATTAGTACTAATACTAAATTAGTATTACTAATAATTAATAATTTATTTATTATCGTATCATTTAGTGATCCAACACTTAAACAGCAAATATGTCTCAATTAAACATATTTTCAACAATTGTTTTGTCACTGTTTGGTAATATATTCATCAAAAAAACAAAAGCAAATTAAAAACTAATATAATTATTATATATTTTTTCAGTGATTCTATTAATTGATTGTATAGACAGTAGTCGACAACTATCCCGAAATGATAGACAAGAGTTAGCAAAGTTTAAACTAACAGTTAAACTATTGAATGCTGTTTTGAATGATAATGACAACAATCCAGACGCTGGTACTGGTGGTGGTCAGGGAGGAGGAGGAGAAGGAGCTAGCAATAGGAATCTGCCGGCCGTTAGTTCCGGTATAGAAGCAGACAATGAGAAAGGCGTTGTATATTCTGATTCAAATAGGAAAAGAATTAACAAACAGGAATACCTGAGACTTAAACAGGAATGGGATCGACAACAACAACAACCTAATGGTGGTGTTGGTGTCAACAACAACAGTGGGACTACCGTACCGGTTGGTCCACCCAGAAAACAATGGGGTGGTTACTCGGCGCACCAGAATGGTGGAGGTGTCTATCAACACATTGACAAAAATGGCAAAACTTATAGTACATATGGCATACCAGCCCCACCAGTCTTTACCTACTATGATAACAATCGTAATAAAGTTAGCAGGGAACATTGGAGACAATTTAATAGCGATTGGCCTAAAGATGATTAATTAATTCATTAATAAACTAATGTAATAACTAGTAAATTATTTTCTCTTTTTTTTAAATTAAATATTATAGACTAAATGTTGGCAAATAAAAAAGTAAATTATATTTTATCTCTATTTATAAATTCACACAATATTACTATAAGGGGCTGTTCACATATTACGGTCGCACTTTTTAAGAAATCTAGAACCCTTCCCTCCCCTATGTTAGCAATTGTTCGCTTGTAGTCATTAAAAAAAATTACGTTTGCATGTCCCTAAACCCCCCCCACCACATAAAATATTATCTAAATGCAAACGTTTTTAAAGTATCTACCCTAGTTCGCTTTGACTGTCCCCCTCATGTGCGAACGTAATATGTGGAGCACACCTAATGTTTTTTTTATTAATCTTATAATAATAAATTATAATTTATAATTCTTATTTTTCAACAATATTGAATATAAGATAAACTAATGTAATAATAAATACTAAATTATAGTTTCTGTTAATTAGATATTATAGACCAGGCGATATCACGATTATTATACGGTCCCTTACTTAAAAACATAATTACTGACCAAGATAAAAAACAAAAAAAATTATAATACACAAATTTAATAACCTTTTTATATAATATTAAATAAAATATACCACTTAATTAAAATTAATATGTAACAGTGTATTTGAGCTAGATGAAATATATTATAATTAACCATAAGCTTCGACAGTGCATTTTAATCAAAAGTAATCAGAAATCACTTGAATGATAACCAGTGTTATAGACTAAATGTTAGCAAAAAAAATAAATTAAAAAAATATATTTAAACTATAATTTTAATGCAGTAGTAATGAAAAAAATTAATTTATAATTTTTATTGAAAACATATTTTCAATTTTGTGTGAAATTAAATATTTATAATATATTATAGTAAATATACTTTAGTTTATTAATTAATACATTTAGTTATTAGCAATAAAGTGATGATATTTTATAATTTAATAGATATTTTTGAAAGAAAAATATATATCTAAATAACAAATAATTATTTTACTTAATATTTTATTATTGCCAATATTTAAGAAACTAAAATAAATACATTAGTATTAAATAATAATAATATACAGTAGTCTGTACTGTATTAATAATTTTTCTAAATTATATAAAATTAAAAATAATTATTAAATAAAATTAAACCGTTTGTTTTTTATGTATAGAAAATTTTTAATTTATTAGTTTATTAGTAGTAAAAGTATTAAATTCTATGACGTTATTATATATATATTTTATTTAATTACTAAATTTTTTATATATATATTATTAATATTTTAGTTTAGTATCGTATCATTTAGTGATCCGACTCTTAAACAGTAAATATGTTTCAATTAAACATATTTTCAACTATTGTTATCGCATTGTTTGGTAATATATTCATTGAAAAACACAATTAAAAATACAAAATATTTTGTATATATAAGTTATTATATATATACTATACAGTATATACATTATATATTGTTAAAAATAATTATAATTTAAATATTTTTTTCAGTTATCTTATCCATTGATTGTATTGACAGTCGTCGACAACTATCCAACAATGATAGACAAGAGTTAACAAAATTTAAACTAACAGTTAAACTATTGGATGGCGTTTTGAATGATAATGACAACAACAATCCAGACATATCGCCGGTTGGTCCACCCAAACGAGTTTGGGGTCATATCGAGAGGAGCGGGAAAGATGAGGGTGTTTATCAACACATTGACAAAAATGGCAAAAGATACACTACATATGGCAAACCATCATATGAAACTAAATACTATGATCCCAATCATAATGAAGTTAGCAAGGAGCAATGGAGACAATTTAATCCTGATGTGCCTATAGTTGATTTTGAGAATGATGGTGACAATCCAGGTGCTGGTGTTGGTGATGGTCAGGGAGGAGGAGGAGGAGGAGGAGGAGGAGCTAGTAATTCGAATCTKACTGTTAGTTCACACCGTACTCTAACTTTTTTTAAAAAAAAAATACTATAAAAAATTACTAACACAAACATTATTATTAAAACCTATTGACCAAAACAGGAATGGGATCGAAAAAAACAACGACTTCAACAACAAGAAAAAGAATATAGAGCTAGAGCTCCGATAGGACGTCTACCCAAACCCAGGTGGGGTTTCGTAACAATGACACAAGTTAGTGGCGATCTTCARCTGATTGTTAACAAAGATGGTACCAGTCATTCAGTATCTGGTCCACCACCACCACCAGTGGTCCACTACCATGATCCCAATCAGAAAGAAATTACCAGGGAACAATTCATACAATTTAATACTGATTGGCCGGATAAATGGTAGAAAATCAGTAAAAATAATTTATTAACAACAAAATAAYACAGTAGTTATTTAAAAATAAACATAATTTTTAAAATTTATTTTAACTTCTAGTTTAGTAATGATAAATATAATGATTGCATAAAATGTAAACTACTGTCTAGTTTCTAACAAAATAATAAATAAATAATAYTTTTTTTATTGTATTAATTTAATGAAAATAAATTAATTATACAGAATTGTATTAATAGTTTTATTTTTTTTAAATAGCTAGCTAATTTTGATTTGATAAATTTATGAGACATTTATACTAAACAACTTTTATTTAGTTATGTTGAATAAATATTATTAGAATTAATTATTATTATTATTATTATTAAATTGAATATTAACTAATTATTAATATGTATGTAAATTTTCATCATTTTTATGATTTCACATAATATTATCACTATTTTTTGATCTTATAATTTATAATATTTTTTTTATTTAACAAAATTAAATCTAAAATAAACTAATATAATAACTACTAAATTATCTCCATTTTTTATTAGTCATTATAGATTGTTAGCAAAAAAAGTAAATTAAAAATTATATATGTATTAAATCTAAAATGTTTATACAGTAGTAGTAATTTTTTTAATTTATAATTTTTATTAAAACATATTTTCAATTTGTGTATCTTTAAGAGACTTATGAATATAGTTTATYAATAAATATAATATATAGTAATTGTCAATAAATAGATAATATTTTTAATTTTATTAAATATTTATATTTTAATTTAAAAATATAGTTTTAAAAATAACAAATAAATTTTAATTTAGTAAACATCGTATAAACAACAGACTATATTATTAAGTTATATTAGAATAAAATATTAAAAAATAAAATATAAATATTATATAAAACTAAACCGTCTGTTATTATATAAGATTTTTTATTTATTAATTTAGTAGTTTTAAAAATATTAAATTTTATGACGTTATTATATTTAATTTAATTACAAAACAAAATTTATATATTTTATATATCATTAATAGTACTAATAATTAATATTTTATTTTAGTATCATATCATTTAGTGATCCAACACTTAAACAGCAAATATGTCTCAATTAAACATATTTTCAACTATTGTTTTGTCACTGTTTGGTAATATATTCATTAGAAAACAATATATTTTTTCACATATTAGTTGTTTATATACTGTATATATAACACTAAATTATTATTTAGCTTATTATAATTTATATATTTTTTTCAGTGATCATATCAATTGATTGTATAGACAGTAGTCGACAACTATCCCGAAATGATAGACAAGAGTTAGCAAAGTTTAAACTAACAGTTAAACTATTGAATGCCGTTTTGAATGATAATGACAACAATCCAGGTGCTGGTGCTGATGGTGGTCGGGTAGGAGGAGGAGGTAGAGCTAGCAATAGGAATCTGCCGGCCGTTAGTTCCGGTATAGAAGCAGACAATGAGAAAGGCGTTGTATATTCTGATTCAAATAGGAAAAGAATTAACAAACAGGAATACCTGAGACTTAGACAGGAATGGGATCGACAACAACAACAACCTAATGGTGGTGTTGGTGTCAACAACAACAGTGGGACCTACCGTACCGGTTGGTCCACCCAGAAAACAATGGGGTGGTTACTCGGCGCACCAGAATGGTGGAGGTGTCTATCAACACATTGACAAAAATGGCAAAACTTATAGTACATATGGCATACCAGCCCCACCAGTCTTTACCTACTATGATAACAATCGTAATAAAGTTAGCAGGGAACATTGGAGACAATTTAATAGCGATTGGCCTAATGATGAATATGATGATGGATTTACATATAGGGATTCAAACGATAATACAATTAAAAAACACGAGTATAACAGACTTAAATACGAATGGAATCAACAACAACACCGACAACAACGACAACAACGACAACCTAATGGTAGTGGTGTTGGTGTCAACAACAATGGGACTACAGTACCGGTTGGTCCACCCAAACGAAGTTGGGGCTCTATAGGAGTTGTTAGATTGGGACCGGTAGCCGAATTTATAGAGGATAAAGATGGTAATGTTCGTCGTATACCTAATAACAAATGGGGAGAACCAACATATCATTACTATGATCCAAAACATAATGAAGTTACCAAGGAACAATGGCAACAATTTAATACTGATTTGGCTGAAAATAAGTTTAAAAAAGTCTAAAATAGCCTACCTTTCTGTAGTTTGTAACCAAAAACAAAAAATAAACACGAAAAATAAAATAAACATTTTTTGATTTTATTGAAATTTATCAATTTTAACTTAATATTTTTTTTTGAAAAAAATAAGTAATAATTAAATGTTATAAATTGTATGTTTTTTAAAATAAAATATAAAAATATTTCCAATTTGTGTGACGTTAGGAGATAATACAGTATATAGTAATTAGCAATAAATAGATAATAATTTTAATTTTACTACTTATGTATGAATATAAAAATATATTTTGAAAATAACAAATAAATTTTACTTTACTAAACATCAGCATTAAAATATTAGATATTATACCTGTATTATAGATATATTAGTATTAAATATTGAAATACGAAAAATAAATATTAAATTAAACTGTTTGTTTTTTATGTACAAATTTGTTATTTGTTAGTTTAGTATTAAAAGTATTAAATACGTTATTATATATTGAATTTAATTACTAACAAAATCATATATTTTCCCGAACTTTTATGGGCGAAACTTTTAAAATTAAAAAATGTTGTCCAATGGGACCAAATTTGTATATTGTTTTGTACGAAAAAAAATAAATGCGCCAATATATATGTTTTTACTTATTACATGTAACTAAATGATTTTTGAATTTTTAAAAATTATAATATTTAATAAAAATTTTATTACAACAAAATATTAAACATTCAAATCAATTATTTTAGTTAACTTTTGTTGGCACTTACTGTACTGCAATTTAAAATTTTTTTTGCTATATATCAAAACAACGTTTCAGTTGAGATATTAGCGGTGCTGTATTCAGTGCTACACTATTATTATTATTAGTAGTAAAAGTATTAATTTTTTTTTATAACGTAAGTTATATTCAATATCAATGCTAAGAAAATATATTAGTAATAATACTTTTAGTTAATAATTTATTTTAGTATCAGTTAGTGATCCAACACTTAAACAGCAAATATGTCACAATTAAACATATTTTCAGCTATTGTTTTGTCACTGTTTGGTAATATATTTATCAAAAAAAAAACAAAATTAAAAATACAATATTTTTTTGTTATTTAATTTACTATAACTTATATATTGTTAAAAATAATTATAATTTTTTAAAAATATTTTTTTCAGTGATCTTATCAATTGATTGTATTGACAGTCGTCGACAACTATCCAGAAATGATAGGCAAGAGTTAGACAAAAGTTTAAACTAACAGTTAAACTATTGGATGGCATTTTGAATGCTAATGATGAAAGTCCTTGTGCTGGTCAGGGAGGAGGAGGAGGAGGAACTAGCAATAGAAATCTGCCGACAAAATTGATTATAAGATAAACTAATGTAATAATAATAAATTCTAAATTATTTTTTCTTTTAATTAGATATTATAGACTAAATGTTAGCAAATAAAAAATTAAACTAAATATTATATTTAACCTATAGTTTTGATAAAGTAGTAAAAAATTAATTTATAAACTTTATTAAAAACATATTTGTCATTAAAAACTTTGAATATATAGAAAATAGTTTTTTTTAATTTTTATATTTAGTAATTAGCAATAAAGTGCTCATATATTTAAAAATTTAATACATATTTTTAAAAGATAAAATAAATATGTTTTTACTAACAAATAATTATTTTACTTTATATTTTATTTTTTATAATAAATAATAATATAGTATATTATTATATAACAAATACTGTTTAAATTTTTTTATAACTTATATAAAATTAAAAATAGTTACGAAATAAAATTAAACCGTTTGTTTTTATGTATAAAAGTTTTATTTAAAAAAAAATATTTATTAATTTGTGATGGCTAATAAAACATCACTAAAAAGCGCTTCAAGATTTTCAAACTAGAATATAAAGTTATCTAGTTAAATTATTATAAATAAATTATACTGTATATATATATATATATATATATATTCCTAATCAATACATGCCCCGCATTCCTAAATTGTTTTTTAAGTTAAACTTTTTGAAGCATTTTAACTGTTAAACCAATAGACGAACCGTTGAAAGTTAATTATTAATATTAAAAGTATTAAATTTTTTATGACGTAAGTTATATTGAATATAATTGCTAAAAAATATATTAGTACTAAAACTTATAGTATATTAATTTATTTTAGTATCGTATCATTTAGTGATCCAACACTTAAACAGCAAATATGTCACAATTAAACATATTTTCAACTATTGTTTTGTCACTGTTTGGTAATATATTCATCAAAAAACACAATTAAAAATACAATTTATTTTTGTTATTTAATTTACTATAACTTATATATTGTTAAAAATTATTATAATTTTAAATATTTTTTTCAGTGATCTTATCAATTGATTGTATTGACAGTCGTCGTCAACTATCCAGAAATGATAGACAAGAGTTAGAAAAGTTTAAACTAACAGTTAAACTATTGGATGGCGTTTTGAATGATAATGACAACAATCCAGACGCCGGTACTGGTGGTGGTCAGGGAGGAGGTGGAGGAGGAGGAGGAACTAGCAATAGGAATCTGCCGACCGTTAGTTCCGGTATAGGAGCGGTCGATGAGAAAGATATTGAATATTACGATACAAACGGTAAACAAATTAACAAACAGGAATACCTGAGACTTAAACAGGAATGGGATCGACAACAACAACAACCTAATGGTGGCAGTGGTGTCAGCAACAGTGGGACTACAGTACCGGTTGGTCCACCCATACAACGATGGGGCTCTTTAAGTCCTCTTATAATGAGGACTATGGAATTAAATTATATAATGTATTCAAATGGCACAAAACATATTATACCAAATAAACCAATATATACCTATCTTGATCCAAAACATAATCGAATAACCAGGGAACAATGGCAACAATTTAATACAGATAACGAGGAAAATTGGTTTAAAAATAACCTAATAATAAAAACAAACCTTAAAAAATCGATAAAAATCTAATATACTGTTTATATACAGGTAATACAAGTTTATCTATATACAGTATATATATATACATATAGTATGTGTTTATTGACAAAATTTGAATTTAAATTATCTAAACTGCTAAGTTAGATAATTATTTTTTATTTGATTGTTTAAACTATAATAATGATTTCAATGTATAAACTATGTTTCTAAACAAACACAAAGAAATAAAAATAAACTTTATTTTTTGAATAATTTTATTGAAATTACGTAAATATATTAGTATTATATAATACTGTAAATATTAATTGTTTATAAGTTAAGTTTATAATTGTTTTCTAAATATTGTATTAATATTTTTTCTAAATTATATAAAATAAAAAAATAATTAATTAATTAAATTAAACCGTTCGTTTTTTTATGTATAGAAAATTTTTATTTATTAGTTTATTAGTATTGAAAACTATTAAATTTTATGACGCAAATTATATTTGATATAATAGCTAAAAAATTTTATATATTAGTACTAATACTTATAAAATAATATATTATTTTAGTATCGTATCATTTAGTGATCCAACACTTAAACAGCAAATATGTCTCAATTAAACATATTTTCAATTATTGTTTTGTCACTAATAATATATTCGTTAAAAAAACACAATTTAAAAAATAGACGATTTTTTCATATATTAGTAATTTATATATAAAACTAATTTTTAAAAATTTAATTTACTATTACTAGATTTTTTTTAGATAGAATCTTAAATAGCGGCGATGCTATTAATTACAATTATCTGGTGTCAACAATAGGTTGAATTAAAAAGTGACCAAGGTGGCAATGTTGTATATAATTTTATACTGGATAAAATTGTAATTGGTCATTTTTTGTTAATTAATTGTATTTTATGCCAGATAATATACAGTCGACTGTAAATCTGGCATATAATACAATTAATTAAAAAAATGACCAATTACAATTTTATCTAGTATTATAATTTTACTTATACTTTATATGTCTACTTTATAAAAAAAAACTAAAACCAAAATGTTATTCATATATATTATATTTATTGTACATTGAAAATTAATGGTTATAATTTATACATGAAAATTATTATTTTCTTATATTATAGAAAACAATTATAATAAATATAAAATTTTTTGAGTAATTAAAAACAAATATTTTACAAATTTTTGTATTATTTTTATATAATTTGAATTGAATTTTTTTGTATTATCATTAAAATTTCAATTTTAAAGGATAATTTAAACTTGTATGTAATTAACTAAAAAAATTACAAATTTATCACATATATTTTTATATATACAGTATATTTAATAATATCTTTTAATAAAATAAAACTATTATTATTATAAATTAAAAAAATTAAAAAATAATTCATAAAACAGTTTAAATTAAATAAATAATCGTAATAATCAAATTGGTTATTTAAAAAAAACATTATTTTTATATTTCTAACATAAATATTTTTGTTTTACAAATAATTACATTGTGTCAATCAAAAATTTATACAGGTAAATATATATATATAAAAATTTGTATACATATTTACAATATATTATTAATTATATTCTAGTTTACATTTATCCAGTATATATATATATATATATATAACTTTTTAACTTTTTAATCAATATTATCAACAATTAAACCAAATTAGGTTATATACAGTACATATAATTTATATACTGTTAATTAATTTGTATAAAATTAATGTTAAAATTAAATTAAAAATTATTATTTATATTATGATTTAAAAATAATAATAAAAAACTTATTAAATTAAATTCTAATTTGGTTACGATTTTCAATACTGATGGCACCGCCGCCGCCGACACTGTTTAGCTCCAGTTCCTGGTGTTGTTGTTGTTGGGTCAGGTGCTGGACGTGATGTTGATGTTGTTGTTGTTGTTGTGTATAGTGGTCTAACTGGTCGCTGACAGTTCCGATACTATCGATACCGCTGCCAACGCCGCCAATGTAATCGCTTATTGAGCAGTCATGTAAAGGCACGGGTAGTTGTTGTTGTTGTTCGGGTACCGAATCCAGCGACAACTTAGACAACTTTCCGTAAGATTGTTGGCCAGAATATCCAGAACGTCTGGTAAGGCTATTGGTGTTAGTGTTGGTGTTGTTGTTGTGCGTCTGATAGACTATTGGCGGCCCAATTGTCGACGACGGAGAGGACAGTTGGCTTATAGGAGACGACGAACAGTTGATGGCCGGCAGTTGTTGTTGTTGTTGTCGACAACCGACTGATGATCTCTTGTTGTGGACCGACATCAACATTAGTGCCGACGACTCATCCGTATGCGACAGCTATTCATATCAATGATATATCAATAAAAGTCAATCAATTAGTTATAATAAATGATTAATTATATAATTTTATGGTATTGTTTAATATCTATTAGTATGATACTGTATTTAAAAAAAATAAAATAAATAAAAGCATAATAATTTACTGAAAAAAATAATTAATATATAATAATATTATAATTTTTTATTTTATAGGCAATATAGTAAATAATAAATATTGAAACACAATATTATATCCTTAATAACAAAAGTTAATATATATTAATATATTATTTGTTGTTGTTGTTTAAAATTCAATGTCAATAATATTTATTAAAAAAAATTATATAACATATTTTTCACCTGGAAATCTATTATAAAATTATAATAAATCATAGAAATACTATTTATAATATAATATTTCTAGAAACTAATCAAATAAACAAACAAAAAGTAAATTACTAGTAATATTGATAAATAATTTATTTTTTATGTTTTAAAAATCTTAGTTAAATCTTAATTCATTGTTTTTAAAATAATTTACTTGTAATTAGTATAGATTATAACATACACACAAAAAACTATATTTTAAAACAATAATAATTATTAAATATTTTACTTAATAAAATCTATCTAAATTTTTTTAAGTATATTTAAATAAATATCATTACAAGTAAAAATGGTAGTATTTTTTTAAAAAAAAGTTAATTTGAAATATTTATGAAATATATATATTATGTTTACGTAACTGTTTTATGCATAATAATAATAATACCGATAAAAGAGGCGTTAAAAACTGGGGGGTACTGTCAATACCAGTTATGAGTAATAATAATAATAATAATAATATTATTATTATTATTCCCTTGAATGCACTTAAATTTATATCTCATAAAAACAACAAAGTTTACTAAATATATATATGTATAAAAAACGTATATATAGTATATATAATACATCATATATGATATTATTGAATGAATAAAATAACGATAAAAATAAAAATAATATATATATTTAATGAATTCCCTACTCATCTATTGTGAACACATTTTGTTGACTCTCACTATAGATTTAACTTATATATTATATTGTGTAGTATATATAATATATATATGATATATAAATTTTATACATAATTTACAGTGAAAAATGAGATACAGATAGCAATGTATTGAGTGTATGTGTGTGTGTGTGTGGAGGAAAAGGGAGATTGATTTCATAAGTGCTATATACTGTATAAGCAAATATTAAATATAATAATAATAATAAGTGCCATCAAAAATTATGCCATTAGGAGTGGTGTCGTTGTTTTTCTCAATATCGACTGTGCAAAAAATAACCCCACATACATCATACACACACACACGCGCATACACATACACATACACATACACATACACATACACATACACATACACATACACATACACATACACATACACATACACATACACATACACATACACATACACATACACATACACATACACATACACATACACATACACATACACATACACATACACATACACATACACATACACATACACATACACACATACACACACATACACACATATACACACACATACACACAAACCAGCAAATTATTTTTGTTGTATAATTTGCTAATAATATATATATGATAATAATAATGCTATTATTATTATTAGTAATAATAATTTAATAAAAGCCTAAATTGTGTTTATTTTTTCTGTATATCGTAAGTTTGGTACTAAAAAACAAAATTAAATTATTGATAATTTTTATATACAATATATATAATGAGTTTATATTAAAATATTTATCAACACTTTCCCTCTCTTTCTATATATATATATATATATATATATATATATTATTTACACTATCTCTAAGTGGGTTTAATAAACGGGTGGGTGAGTGTTGAATAAGAAAAAATGCATATTATTATTATTAATAAACAATTGACAAAATGTGTGACTAACAAAAAAAAATTAACTAATAGTAAATTCCAATACTTTTCAATATTACTGGTAGTTTAGAGATTCATATATATAATGGGTATAAACAAATAGTCAATACTTATGATATGCAATGGGTATGATAGGGTAGGGTAGGGATGGTTAGTGTGTGTGTTAGTTAAGTAAGTTAAATATGATGAATGGCTGCTCTCTCTCTCTCTCTCTCTCTCTCTCTCTCTCTCTCTCTCTCTCTCTCTCTCTCTCTTTGTCTGTCTGTCTGAGACAACAGCTGAAAGAGGGGCTAATATCCTCCTCAGCCCTACATCTGAAATGACTTAAAGAGAAAGTGGAGAAACAAAAACAAGACGACGAAGAAGACGAAGAATAATAAGATAATATTGAAAAAAAAAACAAAATTATGACACAAAAAACGGAGAGAGAGAGAGAGAGAGAAAGAGAGCAAAAAAATAAAAGAGTAGTAAATAGATAATCAATATAATAATAATAATAATATAATACTTCATCGTTTAGGTGCTGATGATGATGATAATGAGCACCGGCAGCATTAGGCATCACCACTAGATGATTATGACCTCCAGATGCTATACTAATGGCTCCACCGCCGAGGCAGCGGCCAGTAGTGTCACCGTCGGCTCCTCCCAGTGCTGTTACCGACCGTTTTTTGGCATTACGTTCCAATTGATAGTAGACGCCGGCAAATATCAACATATTCAGTATGAGTAGCGAACAGCCGATGGCAATGGTCACCGATAGGGCAGTTGTATAGCCATTATCGGCGGTGCTATTGTTGGCTGTTGTAGTTGTAGTCGACAGTGCGGTAGCCGTCGTAGAGTTGTTATGTTTGTCCAGCCGTTTGGCCAGACCTTCGTCATCGGCGGCTTCACTGGTGATTACAGACACCACACCGTTGACTATGGAGTTGTCGTCATTGTTGACATTCTTGTTGTTGTTGTTTAATAACGACGTGATAGTTGGCCGTCTCTGTTGACGGCCACCGGCAGCGGCAGACGATCCGTGAGGAACGGTAGGCAATGGTTGTAGAAATTTGAACGCTATCTGCCGGACCACACCGTCATAGGTCAGCGGGTTTTCGTGATCCTGTAGTAGATGATGGCGCAGATAGACGTCCTCATCGCCCGGTTTATGCAAATCGGGTATCAATTGCAACCAAAACGATAGTCTATGGCTGTGGTAGTGGTCGCGTACTTTTGGTTTCATACCTGTTTGTAGTCATCAACAAAAAATTGTTAAATCAGTAAAAAAATAATTCAATTTTTATTAACAATATATATTTAATTTCATTAGTTTTAAAGAATATTCTTTAAACAAATATTTTAAAATAAAAACTAATAATAATAAATAATATATATATGTAATAAAAAAAATTAAATATAAATTTTGTTTTAAAATTTAATGATACAATAAAAATTTCTTATACCCAATTGGCATCAAAATTAATATATATATATATATAACTAACAAAAAAAATTATTAATAAATTTTATTGTGCATCCCAATCTATTTGATAGATTTAAAAAATTGCATATCATATAGCCATCAATAATATAATAATAATCAAAAATAAAAAAAATATTTTTCATACTCAATAAAATTTAATCTGATTTTTTATGTAATGAATATTAAAGCTTTAAAATTATTTAATAAAAAAATGTATTCAGATTAAGTGATTGAAATTATTATTTTTTTTATTGCTATACACTATTGCATCAAAAAAAATATGAATGAATTTTTTGCAACAACAAAAAAATTGCATAATAACAGTGTGTCTGTCAGTTAAGTACTGTATATAAGTAGCTAATTGTGTCTGTCATTGAAATTGATTGATCGGTTAAGTTAATGATAAAAAATATTATATATATATATAATATAATTTTCATAATAATAATACTAAAAATACTAATTCAGTATATGATAGAGAGATATTACTGTATTATATAATATCTATATAGTTATTAGGTGATTGATATCAAAACCGATGATACATTGATTTCAATAGCAATTTTTGATGAATACAAGATAAAAATTAATATTTTAATTTAATTTAATTGCACTTATTATGTGCAACACATTGTATCATAATTTAACTTTTAAAATATATATACAGTAAATAGTATATCAATACAAACCAATCATTAGGTATTTTTTCTGGACGGTATCATACAGTGGCCATTGGACGCCATCAAACCTGCCTTTCCTTTCATTGGCCGATGATGTTTGATGTGGTGCCGGTGCTGGTTGTGATGGTGTGTCCGACGGATCGGCACCATTTGGATCACTGAAAAAAAATATATAAATTTATTTAATAGTAATAAAATTTGATAATAAAATATTTATATAAAAATACAATTATAATTTCTATGTAATTATCTATTATTATTGATCTAGCTTTAAATGATCTATCTATAAAATTTTTTATTAAATTAATTTTTTTTTGAAACAAAAATTGAAAACTAAAAATCTTTATTTTAACTTTAAAAAGCAAATTTAATTACAAAAAATAAATAAATTAGTTTTGCTAAAAGTAATCAAAAAATATGTTTTTATAATTTATATAATAGTTTGAAATATCTATTTAAATAAATTGGTGTCAAATTTTATAATTTTAATATTTTTGTTTTATTAAATTATACAGTTTAAGTTATTGATTATAACTTTTAAAAAATACAATATATCAATACAATGTTTTCGGTAGTATTAGCAATAATAATAACAACAAATAATATATTTGTTTAAAAAAAGTTGCCGGAAATTGAAAGTAATATCCAGTACAACATGAAGTTAAAGTGATTGTAAATATATCCTTAAAATGGATGAATAAATGGCATAAAAACATACACACATACACACATACACACATACACACGTACACACGTACACACATACACACATACACACACATACATACATACACACATACACACATACAAAATGTTTTAAATACAATTTTATATGTTAAAAGCAGAGACAATTTTTTCATTTTCTTATATAATAAAATGAGATAAAATCGATGCATTAGAGATCTCATATTGTGATATTATACTATATATACTATATGTATGTGTGGATATATACGTGTTCGTGAGAGAGAGAGAGAGAGAGAGAGAAAGAGAGAGAGAGAAAGAGAGATCCTTTAATATAACAAGTAAACTAAATTCAATTGAATTTTTTGTTGTTGTTGTTAGTTGTCTACATTATCTTCCTGTTTCTCTTATATATATATAGATGTATATATATGTATAAAAAATATATTGTATAATAAAAAAAATATATAGATTCTGTATATACATAATAAACCGATAAAATACGCGAATAATAATAATAAAAGATAAGTAAACGGATAGAAAAATAGTTTAGAATATTCTTTAATATAATTGAAACGAAAATACTGTAAAAACATAAAAGAAGAAAAGTCTGTCTTTTAAAGTACGGGTATATACTGTACTATATTTATATATAATTTTATATATACTATATACTGGTATATATATAGTATATATATATAATATTAGTTTATATATATTTTTCAAGATTTTTAAGAGATTTCTAATAGAAAGTGCAAATAAATTCAAGTTTAAATAACAAAAAACAAAATTAAATTTTACGATGAAATGCATTGATGTTTTAGTTATATATCACACATATACTGTATTATAAACTAAAAATTATTTTCAACTTTTTTAAAAAATTAGATTGAAATATATATATATATATATATATATTAAATAAATTGTTCACTAGTTAACTAATTAAAATTTACTATATTTAATATTACTATATTTAATTACTATATGTAAATTTTTATCAAAAAAAATAAATAATTTAATTTATGAATTATGTAAAACAAATTTTGTTTTTTCCACAATTTTATTATAAATTAAAATGTATATATTAAAAAAAATAAATCCTATAATACACATATAAGAAAAAATTAGTTAATAATGTTAAAAGTTTGGTTTTAATTTAGTTAATTATGGTTTTGGTTTTGTTATGCATTATATAAAAGTTTTATACAATAATAAAACGATCCTATATTTAAAATATTAAAAAATATCATTTTATATTAATAATAATACTCTTAAATATATACTGTATACTGTATATATGGTATTGAATATATTAATAATATATTAAACTATAAAAATATATTTAAAATACAATGTATAAACTAAACTATATAAAAATCTTAAAGTATAATAATAATTTTTTATAATCAATTTATTGAGAATAATACTAATAATAATAATAAATAGCTTTTATTTTATTTTTAAAAATTTAAAAAATAGGATAACAAAAAAAACAAAACAAACAATCAAAAAGCTAAACGAATTAATTTGATATGATATTATCAGTCGATGCACACATCAATCTGATGTTAAACTTAAACAAAACAAAACTATTATATATATATATATATATAAATTATTTAATAAATAAGTGATTGTTATGTTTTTTAAGGATCAGTTATGTTTGACGGTACGGGTCTGTCATATTGAACACACCAAATAAGATAACAATTGTTTTTATTTATCTATTTCTATCTATCTCTATCTCTATCTCTCTCTCTCTCTCTCTCTCTCTCTCTCTCTTTCTTTCTTTCTTTCTTTCTATGTGTGTGTGTTTGTGTGTGTAGCGCTTGTACTATAATTGTAATGAAGAAAAAAATAAAGAGATTTATAAAATAATAATGAAAACCAAAACAAAGGACTAAAAGAAACCAAAGAAAGAGAGAGAGAGAGAGAGAGAGAGAGAGAGAGAGATTCGTGACTCTGGAGACAAATCAGTGCCACAAATAAGTAAAGAAAAAAGGGTCGACACGTTTGCCGTGCGTGTTGTGGTGGCTCAGGGATTCATCACCATTATCGACATGACCACCAAAAAAATATATATACAATATATATATATATAGAAAGAGATAGAGATAGAGAGATGTATAGATTTATTTTTTTAGGTATATAACAATCCACATACTTGTACACCCATACCCACCCACCCACACAAATATATATATACTGTATATATATAGTACTGTACTATATATATATATATATATATATATATATATATATATATACAGTGCATAACAATACACAAACAGTAGATACCATAAGGACGATTGTATCGTAACAATAGTTATTTCGACTGATTTTGTGTTTTTTAGACTAACACACAAAAACAATGTGTTATCAATTATACAGTATTTATTGATTATTAGCACCAAAGAAAAAAATATCACTTAGTTTTTAGAAACTACCAAATTTTTAAAATAAAACATTACTACAAAATAATAATAATAATATATAATTTTTGTCAATTTGAAAATAAGTTACTAATAATACTTTATTACAAAAAAAAATATTAATTAACAATAAACTATCTTGGTCATCATCATCATCAGTTTCAGTTTAATTAAATAGGAAAACAAATGCAAATACATGTGTTTAAATAGTTATTGTATAGTATTGTACATGTATTGTATGTTTCAATGATAGTATGAAATTTGCAATTGAATCTTTTCTAACCGTACAGTACAAGCACCGGGAGGTTAGTTATATTATAATAGTCTAATGAGTGAGTGAGTGAGAGTGAGTGAGAGAGAGAGAGAGAGAGAGAGAGAGAGAGAGAGAGAGAGAGAGAGAGAGAGAGAGAGAGAGAGAGAGAGAGAGAGAGAGAGAGAGCAACTATGAGATACATTGCTTACAGATTTGAAACATTTCTAATTAGTGTTTAGTTTATATGTATTTAACTAAATATCCAATGGATATAAAAATTTTTATCAATAATATAAATTTACTGTACTTATTAGTATATACAGTAATTTACGTTACATTTATACTGTATTTATAATTTCAGGATTCAGTATAATATTATATACCAAACCCCTAGTAAATTAATTCACAGTTTATTTTTACTTTACCGATATATTAGTAGTACAGTGAGTGTGTAGTAAAGCACAGTTAGGCTTTACCAACAACAACAACAACAACAAAAAACCTACTGTTCCACTAAAGGCACACTAAATAAGTACAGTTGTATTAAGAAAACTAATTTCTAAACAAATTGTAACTAAATTTTTTTAGATTATATTTCTTTTGCTCTCTCTCTCTCTCTCTCTCTCTCTCTCTCTCTCTCTCTCTCTCTCTCTCTCTCTCTCTCTCTCTCTCTCTCTCTCTCTCTCTCTGGTGTATTACATAAACAACTACTGGTAATGTCATTGGCATTGTTGTTGGTGTTGTTGTTGTTTATTTGATATACTGAATATTCTGTATATATATATATATTGTGTATACTTATAATTATATACAATATAAATAAAGAAAGTCAATGAAAACATTGCAAATAGCAAATAGTAAGTAGTATTGAAAAGCCGTTTAATTTTCTATCAAATTGAATGAAACAAACTTTTATTTTATTTTTTTTTATATTTTTTTTTGTTTGTTCAGTAAAAACTCTTAATGAAGACACCGACAAAATCTCTATATTTTTATTATTTATTTTTTTTGTCTCTTATTTTTCAGTTTGAATATTATGTTAATTTCTTAGTAAATTTTTTGTTTGTTTAATTAGCATTTAATAGTATTTTACTGTAACAAAAAAAATAAAATTAATGTTATTTTCTATTTAACTAATGTTTACTGTATGCTATTAATTCATAAGCAATGCATATAAATATAAAATCATTATTTTTTAAATATGTAAATGTTTATAATATTATATATATTTAATTAAATAACTTTTACAAATTAATTTATTTTAAGTATTAAATTTTTAATTAATTAATTAATAAATAATAATATTTTTAAATAAAACAAATATAGTTAAATGTATATAAGATTTACCCATATTTGGCAAAATTAGTCCAATAAGTCATCACAGCCTCAGATAATGTCACTTCGGGTTTACTATAATTGACGGCAAAGTGACCTAATGTTCGGCCCAACAATTGGACGGCTAGTGGGGCGCCAAACAAATAGGCCAACTCTTCCCCGTGAAGACAGCCTAACCTCTGGTTTAGTTGTTTGTTGCCGTCTTCGCTCTGGTTATAAATTAATAATAATAATAATAATATATAAATATGATAACCAAATAAAATTTATTGGAAACTATAAAAATAATAATTAATTAAATATCTTTTAAAAATTATTTATAGATTCAATATTTTATAATTAATAATTAAAATATTTATCTATAAATCTTTTTTAAAAAAAAATAAAGTTACCATTATTTATCATATCATATATATATTATACGATATAATATGATTTATATCATATAATAAATATTGTATTTAAAAAAAAAAACATTTGATTTATATATTGTGTATTTTTTGAAAAATTAAATGCATTATTCGCTTATTTTAATAATATCACAACAACAACAAAAATGATTGAATATTATTAATGTATTATTCAATTTTTATCGGAAAATAAGATTTTTTATTATTCAAGTATATATATATATATAAATCAATAGTAAATTTAATAGATGATAAAGTGGGTGAGCGGGTGAAAGTGTCAATGTACGATAATAATAGTAATAAAAAAACTTAAATCCAATATATATACAGTATATATTTAATATATATATATATATATACCTTACAATACTGGTGATCTCATATAAAAAAATACTAAAATTTAAAATATGTGTCACCTAACAAAACAATACAAAAAAATCTAGTATCTCATCTCATTGATATTCAATAGAGTGGGACAACCTATTGAAACCATATATAGTCATAATTAAACCAAACCGTCAATATTTAATATAGAAATAAACTGTTACAAAAAATCATTATTCTTTAAATTTATTTTTTTGGGAAATTAGTTTTTTTAATAAAAAATTATTATTGTTTTACATTTCGGTTTAGAGTTTCTAAAAATAATTTTAAGTTTATTTTAAGAATTTTTTTAAAATAAATATTTCAATTTGGTTTAGGTTTGGGTTTTTTTTATCGATAATATAGGTATTTCATCTCTAATAATAAAAATCTGTTTGGTATACCTGATAGACGAATACATAGAAAAATGTCTTATGCTGTCTATTGGAGTCACTATTAGCACCGGTATGTGCGGCTGTCGATGATGATGAGCTACCGGTGCCGGTACTGCTCGACGTCCACTTGGTATGCAAGTCGCCCGTCTCGACCATCGGCGCCACAGTCAGTGCATCGCCCAATATATCGGCGGTCGAGTCGAGCAAATTGATCGGGTGCTCAATAGGACGGTTCCAATCGGTATATTCGTTAATCAGTGTCAATAGTATGGCCTAACAAAAATAATTTATATAAAAATAGACAAAAATAAATAACAAATCTTAAGTATAAACTAAAAAATAAATAAATACATTAATTAATAAATTTTAAGATTTTTAGTAAATCTTAATTATATTTTTATTTTTGTTATTTTTACTATAAATTCTAATTAATTAAATGATTACATTTATTTATTTTTGAAAAAATAGCTAAACATTAATATTTTATCTTAAATTGTAATTAATCAAAAAATATGTTTTTTTTTATTAAAAACAGTGTAAATTTAATTAAATAAGTTATTTATGTTATATTTTCATTAATTTTTTAAGATAAAAAAATTAATATTATTACAGTAATAAATAAAATAATTTGAAAAATATAACTACAAATTTTATACAATACAACCAACAAAAAATTGTTTGGATATATACAGTATATATTAAATTAATTGAAAATATCAGTGAAAATAAAAATAAATATATTTTTTGGTGTGAACTCACTATTTGACGATATTTGAGCCGTAAAAATACATTACTACTACTAATACTAACTAACTATAATACTATTTATAAATTACATACAATGGATGTATTAAGTTATACTACTGGGTGCTAATGTTAATGATAGTTAACACTACTAACCGGTGTGTATGTGTGTTAGTTTAAGCAAAATAATAATAATAATAAATAACAAAACATTATATAAACAGAATATTCTGTTAAAAAAATTATGTCTAGAATTACACACTAATATACTATATATAAAATATAATATACTTTGTGTTATTTTCTAACTATTGCATTAGCTTTTTCTAAATGTAATGTAATATTGATTTAACAATTTTTTTTCTCATTCACTTTGTGTGTATGTGTGTATGTATGTGTGTGTGTGTGTGTGTGTATGTATGTGTGTGTGTGTATGTATGTGTGTGTGTGTATGTATGTGTGTGTGTGTATGTATGTGTGTGTGTATGTATGTGTGTGTGTGTATGTATGTGTGTGTGTGTATGTGTGTGTGTGTGTGTGTGTGTGTGTGTGTGTGTGTGTGTGTGTGTGTGTGTATGTATGTATGTATGTATGTATGTATGTGTGTGTGTGTGTGTGTGTGTGTGTGTGTGTGTGTGTGTGTGTGTGTGTGTGTGTGTGTGTGTGTGTGTGTGTGTGTGTGTGTGTGTGTGTGTGTGTGTGTGTGTGTGTGTGTGTGTGTGTGTGTGTGTGTGTGTGTGTGTGTGTGTGTGTGAATGTTTAGTTGTGATTTTGCTGTTCACTTGAGTTAACATCAAATATATTTATGTTTACAATGTATTCACACACACACACACACACACACACACACACAAACATCAATATTATATTATTATAAACAGTATTATACTGATATACAGTATATAAATGCAATTTATATTAAATAGTAAATCATATTTTTAAAAAATATATATTGAATATATACCATATATACTGTATTTGTGTAAAAAAACGAGTTTAGTTATTAATGCTATGATAATCCTATTGTATACACAAAAAAAATATAATACTACTGTATAAACTTATATACAATTTTTGAATTATATATATATTTATGATCTTCAATTTTTAGTATCAATACTATTTATTACTACTACTACTAAATACTACAGTATATATATATATATATAATTTTTATTATAAAGTAATTTATATATTTTAAAATAATAATAAAAATATCTAATTTTCTAATTCTATTAATGGATAATTCAAAAAGTGATATAAATCAAAAATATATATATGTTTTTTAAAAATAAATAAATATAACTTATCATTGAATAACATTTAGACTTAAATAATAATAACTAAGATGTCTAACTATTTTAGATACCCTTTTAGATCAACAGTTTTTTTTATAATACAATAACATTACATACCTGTTGGTGATAATCAAAAAGATTGCGGACAAGTGTCCTGAGTATACGTTCCCGTCGGGCCAGATCAATGCCATGCCTTTCCTCGTTGGCCGTAAATATAAATGGCGTTTCCACACGAGTAACACCAAACAACATATCGATTGGCTGCTGGCCAGCCATCGATAGTACATAGTTTTGTGCGGCCGATGCCGTCGTAGTCGGACTGCTGTCACTGCCACCACTACTACCACCGCTACCGGCGGTGCCGCCAATATTGACGGCACCGCCGGTACGCCTGAACATCAGTTGCCTGGGCTCCTGGGCTATGACAATACCGTCGACAATCGGCCCGAAAGCCGATAGATATTGCGGTACCATTAGGTCGACACTCATTATTTCGGCTACACTTTTCTGACGTAAACAGTCGACCATAACTACGTTATCCTATATTTTTGTTGAAAACATTTTGATTGATTATATATATATATATTGAGAATCAATTAATTAGTAATGATTTTTTTATGTTATGTTATAGTATTATTGATATACTGTTTGATATGTTTTTGTTGACGACTTACAAAGTTTGGACAATTGATAGCTTTGGCCAAATGCCGGGCATAGGTGTCGGCATCCCTGGCTATGGCTGCCGGACCTAATGCCGAACCGCTCATCAGTGCCACCCTTGAGAATAGGCCTACAGTATAGTAAATTATATAAATATATTTAAATAAATTTTGTTATTTAAACGACACATTAAATACTTGATACAGATATACTGTATTATACAATCATACAGCCTGTATATATTATATAAATAAACTTATATACTGTATATTATACTAATAATTGTGTTATATTTGATTGAAAAATTAGTGTATAAAATTTACATTGTTTATACCAGTATAGTGTAATATATTACAGTCTAATAATATTCAGTAACAATATAGCAGAAAATTTGATTATGAAGTTAACAACAATTTATTTTGCTTTTATCTATCTATCTATCTATATATGTGTGTGTGTTTGGTGTGATTATATACAAAATGTTTAGATTAACTGCTTTACTATAATATAATAATTGAATTGAATTGATTATTTGATATAACTGTGTGTGTGTGTGTGTGTGTGTGTGTGTGTGTGTGTGAGAGAGAGAGAGAGAGAGAGAGAGAGAGAGAGAGAGAGAGAGAGAGAGAGAGAGAGAGAGAGAGAGAGAGAGAGAGAGAGAGAGAGAATGAGTGGTGTTAAGTGTAGAGTGTATACAATTTATATAATAATAATAATAATAAAGTGTTTCTAAACGCTATGAGCTATAATAATAATAAATAAAATAATTTTATTATTAATATTAATATTATTTGTTGAGTTGTAGGCTCTATAAAGTACTGAACACTATTGTACTGTTAAAATGTTATGATATATATATATATATATATAAAGTACAATACATTGTGTAATCCATGTAAATATAATATACAGTATATACTACAGTATAATATTTAATATAATATAATAATATTGTTGTTCATATCGTTAGCATTAAGTACAATGTATACAGTACTTAACTATCATCAATGATAATAATGTAAATATATACTGTATTATTACATAAGACACGGTATATTATTATTAGATACTAATACTATACTATAATAATAATAATAATAATAATACTCTAGAAATAATATATAAATAAAATTCAAGGGGACTGGGTTATGGATGGCCATCCCATACCTTTAGCCATAGGCGATATCATCAATAAGTGTACACATGAGGCACCAAATCCGTGTCCAACTACTGTAACATTATGGGTATCGCCCGATAGGTCGCCAATGTTTTCCTGTATCCAATGTAGGGCCGCCACCTGATCCATGAGCCCATAGTTGCCCCGTACGGTACCGTCGACTACTGCCGGCAGAAAACCTATTTGAAATAATAATAATAATTTAGTAATAATGTATACAGTATTTGAAAATTTTGATTATTAAAACAACAAAAATTAATAAAAATTCTGATTCTAATAATAATAATAATTATTATTTAAAAAAATTATTATTCATATACAATACTTTTTTAATATTGTATGAACTTTAATATAATATATAGTATAACAATAATACTAATTTTTATGTTGTTGTTGTTTTTATTAGATTTAATGATTAATTATTAATTTTGCTGATATTGATAGCAATTAGCAGCCAATTGGTGTTATGACAAATTGGATGCTAAGTTATAAATTATAACATTACACACATACTGTACATACACATACACATGAAATATATACGTTAAATAATAGTTGAGAAAATATGAAACAAAACACAACAACAAAATAATATTATATACAGTATATACAGTATATAAGAGACAAAAATAAAGCATTTCGTTTTCATTTTTATTTTGTTATATATATATTTTTTTGGTAATGTATAGCAAAAATTACAGCCAATATTAATGTCACTTATTGTCAGATTTGTTGTCTCATTTGTCGACATAAAACACTATAATACACAGTGTATATACAGTTTATATATATATTGAGAATCGGATGTTATGTGTGTTTCACTCAAACAAATTGAAAATCATTGGGATTTATGTTCATTAATGTTGTTGTATTCAAGACATTAATTGTCTGCCTTTAAGATTGATATATGATATACAGCACAGTATATACAGTATATACAGTTACTGGTTTATATTGTACAGTAATGTACAATACATGTAAAATATAAATATATATATACTGTGCTTATATTATAATATAAGATATATATTTTTTGTTTTTTTGTTGGTTAGACATGATATTTATTTTTGCCGTTAATATTATGCACTTTTTTATTAGACTTATTTTTTTTAAATAATTATTAGCCAGATTTTACTTATTTATTATATATATATACAGTATTAAGTATATTATAAAGTAAGTATATCTATAATATAATCTGGCTAATATAATTTATTTAGTATTTATATTTGATTTACTGTTAATATATAATATTGTATTTAAATTAGAGTGAAAAAACTCATTTAATTATTATAAGTTTAGTTTAAGTACTAATATAATAAATCGTAAAATAATAATCTATAATAATAATAATAATAATAATAAATATAATTTATATTTTTATAGATTTACTCACAAATAAATACATTGTTTACTATTTTTTTAAAATTATTCAATATAGTGCTATAATTTATAATATACTGTAGAATATATTTAAAATAATAATTTATACTTATATTAAATAGTTTGATTGAATTATTATTTTTTATTGATTTCATTGATGGACAGCATATTTATTAATGAATAATAGGGAAGGACATCATATGACATATTAGTGACAGATATTGTATATCCAGTGTATATATATATATCCAGTATATGTATATCCAGACATTGAACGGTTAGGCTATTATTCAATATCGTACATAACTATCCCATCAACATAACAACAATATTTTTCATTCACCACTATTTGATTGTACTGTATATATATATATACTTTACAAATTGAATTATATTATATATATTTATTTATCATAATATATGATAATAAAAAATTTTTTTGATGATTGAATTGACAACAAATAACAGATGATTGAGTTGAATGGCGTGTATAATATGTATGGCAATTGAATATAAAATCTTGTATTTTTTTTATAGCTCTCAACTACTTTATTGTCATTCAATTGATTTGATGACCATATCGTATAGTATATACGGTATATCATACTATATATTTTTTGTATAGTTAGATAGATAAATAGATAGATAGATAGATGGTGAGTGAGTAAGAGAGAGAAAGAGACAGAGAGAGAGAGAGAGAGAGAGAGAGAGAGAGAGAGAGTGATCTATCGTTTATATTGTAAAAAAAGACTGAAATATGATTTGATTTATTCTGTCATTTATATAGTATTAGTAGTATTATACGGTATATATATATGTATATAATATCATTGATATGTACATACAGTATATTTATATATATATATACAGAATATTCCTGTAATCCATCAGAATTTGAATTTTTATTACATTCCGTTCAAAAAAAGTATATATATATAATATACTGATATATATATAAATTTATATAATCAGTAATCATATCATACCATATACTGTATGATATCTAGTAATATAAGTATAGTATATTATAGTAGTCATCGTATAATTTAGTCAACAACAACAACAACAACAAAAATGCATCAAATAGTTTAGTATATGTATAATGTATGTATGAATTTTAATAAATACAGTATATATATATACCGTGTATATACAGTTTCTGATTGAAATTTTATTTTGTTTTATTAAAAAAAAATCAAAAAATAATCTAATGTAAATTATATATATATATATACATTTTTGATTTACTTGTTTAAATAAAACAAATTTTAATTATTATAATTTTTTAGATTTAGCTAGTTTATTTAATGATATTTTTTAATTATAGTAATAATTCATGTACTATTTAAATAAATAAATAAATTAAAAAATTTACCTAGGACACCCAGCCTATAGTTGAGTGTTACGACAATTACTTGACCAAAACTGGCCAATATTGAGCCGTCGTGTGGATTGCCGGCGTCCCAGTCGTACGACTCGCCGCCTATGAATACAATTACCGGGTATTTGCCCGACACTGATGATGATGACTGAGCTGTTGTTGTTGATGATGATGACGATGATGACTGTGTTGATGGTAGTGAACCTATAAAATAATAATGGATTTAGTAATTAATGATAATTAAAAATTATAATAATTATTAATCAAAATATTTTTATAAAAAAAATTATCAAAAATTTTTTTTAATTGATTTTTGTTCTGTTTATTAGAAATGATTACAAGTTATTAAAGTAATTAAAAAAAATTTTAAACAACTATAGTATAAAATATTTTTTTTAAAGTTTAAAAATTATTTATTAATAATGCATCTAATATAGTCAAATTATTAAATATTTATATGTTTAATTTTTTTTAAAAATAGCAGTAAATTAAAATACAGTACAAATAATAATATTTAATTAAAAATGTTTTGAAAAACTATTTGACAAATACAAAACTTTGAGTTTTGATTAAAAATAGTTTTAAGTAAGGTATTAGTAAATACTGTATTTGTATATTACAAGTTAAATACAGTAAATACCGAATATAATGACAATTATCAAACATACAGTTCAAAAGTATATAAGACAACAAATGAAATGATTTGTTGACTATTTTGCTTAATAATAATAATATTACTTTATAAATAGATAGTATGTATAGTCTAGTATTTAAGACACAACAAAAATAACAACACACTTATTGGACATCAAGTAGTAGTCCAACAACACTGATATATGGGAAACACTAGAAGACAATAATTACAGAATATATATATATATATAGAATATTCTGTATAACTATTCTGTATATTACAATCTGTTAGCAATCAATTCCAATGACATAGATATCTAGTGAACAGTTAAATGGAGACTAAGAGAGAGAGAGAGAGAGAGAGAGAGAGAGAGAGAGAGAGAGAGAGAGAGAATCGTAAGCTTAAAATTAATACCAATCCTTATAATATTGATTTTTTTTGTGTCTAATATTATACTGTTTATAATTTATACAGTACTGTATTTTTAGTAAAACAAATCGAGTGTTTATTTTAAAAATATATTTAATTATTAATGATTTTGAAAAAAATAGTTTACTAATCATATTTTTAAAAAAAATTATTTGCTATTTAAATACTGTATAATTATTATTTGTTATTATTAATATTAATATAATTTTTTTTCAATTATTATTTGAGATGTTATAATTAAATATAAAAACTATTATATAATATTATATCAAATTATTGTTGTTAGAAAATATTAGGAAATCTTCTAATGTTTAGTTTTTGTATGTATGTATGTTTGTGTGTATGTGTTTGTGTGTATGTGTTTGTGTGTATGTGTTTGTGTGTATGTGTTTGTGTGTATGTGTTTGTGTGTATGTGTTTGTGTGTATGTGTTTGTGTGTATGTGTTTGTGTGTATGTGTTTGTGTGTGTGTTTGTATGTATGTGTATGAGCACCGACATCATCATCTAAGACAACTGATCCATTGGGCTGATCTGTCAGTCATTAACCAGTGATCCGCACAAAATCCCCGGTGTTTTTTGTTTGTGTTTTATCACTAATGATTTGTATTTAATACTACTGTATATATATAATATAGTTTATATAAGTAGTATATACTGGGTATATATATTGATATATACTGTATACATATATGATATATATATATAAGGTTTTTGTCACACACAGTTTATCACTTATCATTTTTATGCGGTATAATAAATAAATAATAAACTATATAATAGTAATAATATTATATATAAATTATGTGTTTTTGTGTTCAACAAATGATACATTATATTATATATTGTACTATATATTAATAGTTTTTAATAGTTTTAATAATATTATATTTTTTAATTCTACATTATAAACTATTTTTCTTAAGTATTTTTATAAAAGTATATAAATAATAAATATTACATAATGTTATGCATTAAAATATTTTTATGTTAAATAAAGCTTATTATAATAATTACATGTAAATTAGATAGTATTTAAATTATTTTAATTCAAAAAATCAAAGTAATGTTATATAAATAAAATTATTATAAATTGAAATCAAAACATTTTCTCTAAAAAATTCAATTAATTTTATTTTATTTAAGATTTTAAATTTAATAGCAAATTAAAAAAAAACCAATTGAATAAAGTACTATTGTATAAATAGAGGTTAAAAAATTAATGATTTTCACAAAAAAAATTACATTAATTTATATGTTGACAGCAATGTATTGATAAGTATAAGTAAACGACAAATTCATTACCAAAAATAGAAAATTTCAATTAAATCACTATTTTTTGCACACAATATAATTAATTGACTTTTTATTTATTTGTTTATCTCTCTCTCTCTCTCTCTCTCTCTCTCTCTCTCTCTCTCTCTCTCTCTCTCTCTAATAATAGATATAAATAATTGTCCATTAATTCAATCATTAATAGATTTCAATTGAGTATGGTGAAATAAATTATACTGTATATTAATATTATATATATTGTTAATATTATTATTAGCATTAAATGTGTATAAATAATTTTATTATAACTAATATTAAATACAGTATGTTTAATATATATATAATTAAAAATATAATTAACAAATGCAAAATAAATGTAAATAAGTTATTTTATTTTCTAAATAATCACTTACACTGTTATTATTATTATTATTATTATTATTATTATTATTGTATATTTTAATTTTTAGCAATAATTCTCTGAGTTTTAAAACAATTGGTGAATAAAATTTGCATTTACTATAAAATACTACTCAGTTTATGTATACTGTAGTAAAACTTCATTAATTTTCAGCAAATAAAATGAGTTGAAAGATAAAATTAAATAACCAAAAAAAACTAAACTTTATTTTACACATTGTATGTATGTATGTATGTGTGTGACTACTATCTGTGAGATTTGTCTAATAAGGTGTTATTATTGTTGTCTAAAATCATTTACTTGCATTTTATGCAAAATAAAATCTGAATAAAGTCTAATAATATGATAATATAAAACATTGCAAAAAAACTGTTTCGTTTTAATAAATTTTCAAAAAAATGTGTTGACAATTGTTATAAAATGTAAATGTTTTGTTGTGTAATACATTGTGTTGTTTGTTTTATTTGTTTAATTTATTATTATTTTTAGTAATAATCAAATTTATGTTTTATAATAGTTACTAATCAGCAAAAATTATTTGTAAAAATTTATTTTATTAAATATTTATGTTTGTTGTGTTTGAAAAATTTAAACATTTGATTTCAATTATGAGTAATATTATCTATAAATACTGTATATATATATATAATTTATATAAAGAATATTCTGTAATATAGTTGTATTCATATTTATATCAATACCAATGCATTTGAACTGTGTTTATGTGTTGTGTTAGCCTAGCAATCGATTAGGCCTTACTATACAAGCACACTATACAATGATTTGTATAGTAATTTGCAACATACAGTACAATACAATACAATGTACAATAACATCACAAACAATAATATATGCTGTATTTGATTATACAGTACTGTATAGTAGTAAATGGCACACTATTTATATTTATATATAGATAGATATATTAGAAAGATATATATATATATTTATATATATATATAGAAAAACTAATTTATGCCTAAGAGTTATGTCGTTAGCAATCAATTACATTGTAATAACAATTGACTAAACATTTTCAAGAGGAAAGAGAGAGAGAGAGAGAGACTGTGAGAGCTTAACAATACATTCAAAATCACTTTGATATTCATTGATAGAGAATATTCTGTATATATATTTATTGTGTGAATAATGTATTTTGTGATCTATATATTTATAAATAAGAAATAAATATATGTCAATAATAATAATAATAAGATTAATAATAATTGCTAATAATCATTTATTGACAAATATATATTTATAAACTATTGTGATGAATATTTATTAATTAATTAATAGTATAAAAATTAAATATATTATAATGATTTTTAAATTAAATGTCTATAATAGAAAATTTCATTATTATTATTATTAACATTATTTATGATTATCATTATTATGATTATCATTGATTTAGTAATTTTCATTAAATGTTTTTGCAAATGTTGTTTTATACACTTTGATTGGTTTATCAGTTATATATATAAATTCATTCATTGATTTATGCATCTATTTTCATTGAATTTAATATTATTATTATTATTATTATTATATATTAAGTAATTCACTTCTGATGTCTTATATATTTATTTTAGTTATTTCATATATATATATATATTGTGTATATATATTGGCTAACAGTTCAATAACATAAGACATAACTTAAATATTAAATATTTAATATTTAGATATATAATGTATTTACGTTATATAACTTAAATCATATGATATCTAATTTATTTGGCCAAAACCTAATGCATACAAATATATATAAATTTATATTTATTTATATTATATATATATATATATATATATATATATACAGTATAAATATATAGTATTTTACATACTATCTCTATCTATACATCAAAATATATTATAGTTATATATAATATAATATATTTTTTCTGATAAAATATCCAATTGTTTTTATAAATAATTTTATCAGATTATTTTTCATGATTTTATTGATTTATTTGTATCTATTTATTATACAATCTATAAATTTTATACAAAAAATATTATATAACAAATAAATGCTATTAAATTCTAAACATTTCCTAATAATTAACTATAATTTTATTTTAATAATAATTATTTTGTTTTTGTTAGTAATTTTTCAAAAATTTAAATATTCATATTAAAAATTTTATTTTATTTATAATTAATTTTCCCAAGATAAATTATTTTGATAATAGCTAAATCATATATACAGTATATAATTAATATATTACTATAAATATTATTTTTGGTTACTATTAATTTTTAAAACAACAAACAAATTATTTAACATTAAAATAACAATTTAGATTCAGAAATAAGATATCTTTAATTAATAAAAATAATATTATTTTTATTAATTACAACACATACTGTACTAAACATTAAATAATACACTAAAAATACTAATTTAACGTTGATATTATATATTGTGTGTATAATAGTG